AAATGGAGGACTGTGCACTAGACCTTTAAAGCTTAATTTCATTCTTACCATGAAGTTCCTCCTCTCGTCCTGGGTCTGGAAACGTCCATGGCCCCACTTGCTGGCGGTGTCCACAAACTTCAGGGTAATCTTTTCCATGAAGCGTTTCTTGAATTGGGTGATCAGGGACTGAAATAAAACGATATTTACAATTTTAATGCAAGGTTAGAGTAAGTCTGATGATTGTCGAGTTTTAAACATTCAAGCTGCTTAAGATTTACTATAGAATACAGCATCAGAAGGAAGGCAACATGGTTAGTTCCACACAAAGTTCAGGTACCCCTGGCAGGGGGTACAGATTCCATGTATTCATCACATGCTGGGTTCTCACACCAAGCTTGGAGGAGGCAGTATCATGCAGCTAAAAGCTTCATTTTTAAATAGCAATTAGAGGGAGCCGCAAAACTCAATGGGATGCTCAATTAGCTTTTTAAAACACTAATCCAATTTAAGTTACCTCAAGCACTCACATAAGCAAAAATATTCTTATTCTACAAGTTCAGTTTTGAATGAAAATTTACCAAACATGCACCAATCTACTTACTTTTCGCAGTGTGAGTGGCCTCTTCTTGGGTCCAACACAACATCCCTTGAGCATCACGAAGTCATTCCTTACTTCACCATAGTGAGGGAAACCACCCATTGGTGTAATGGTCTTCTCAGTGGGGTCGAAGTCAGTGGCAGCATTATTCTTTATCACCTTGCCATCCTTGGTATGGATTCCAGCACCCAGGCGGTAGATCTTCTTATTCCTCTCAGTACGGTGGTGATAGCCCTTCTGACCAGCCCTGGCCACAGTGTACTGAACTCTGCTGGGATGCCAGGCTCCAATACAGGCCACCTTCCTCAGACCCTTGTGAGTCTTCCTGGGCAGTTTCTTACAATGCCAACGGGAAGTCACACCTATGAACAAATTCATCTCATTGTGAACAGGCATATGATGGGTACTTCAGCTTAACAGAACATAATTCAACAAATAAAAAAAGACAAACATGCAAATTTAAGCAACCAACTTCAACCTACCTTTCACTCCTCTACCCTTGGTGACGCCGATGACATCAATGACCTCATCTTGTTCAAACACAGAGCTGACAGGGACAGGCTTCTCAAGGTGCTCACGGGCCCAGTCAACCTTGTCGGCAATACTGCCACCATTAAGCTGAATTTCCATTAAATGTGCCTTCTTTTGGCGCTTTCGGAGGAGCTTAGTCTACAACACAAATGTAAGAACCAATGAGCCCTACTTCACATTTCATAAAAAAAACCATGCACCACTGACATGTCCCACTGTAAAAAATCTGCTAACATATCTACATTCACCTCTGAACCACAAAGTTTGTCGTAGCAGTATATTTTATGATAACAAGCATTGTCACTAAGGTGACATAATCCCCCTCAAATTAACAAATCAAACTTATAAAGTAATGAAAGTTTAAGATGTTAAATGTCAACAAAAACATGACCAGTCAAATCGACTGGGCCCTGTGCCTTCCCTAGATAAAGCTTGGTGTTGAATATGAAGAAAATCCAGGGAACGGTTATTGAGATAGCTTAACATGCAGGTAAAACGTTAAAGTCCCCTTGTGACCTTGAAATGAAAGTCAAGGTCACCAAACCTGACTTGGACCTTTCTTACACTGTGATGAACCTAGGTACCAAATATGAAAAGAATCTATAGAACGGTTCTTAAGATATTCCAATTCGTACGGACAGACGGAGCCTAATACTATATGCCCTGCTTCACGCTAAACTCGCGGCTGGGTATAGCAAGACCTGTGCAGTGTGGCTTTAAACAAACCCAAGTCGAACGGGTATCGCAATGCACAACAAATATTAATGTTCCATCTACATCTAACATCCAAGCTAGTTAAAGTAACAGAATAAGCCTACTAAACAAATGACAAGGATCTAACCATGTTTCACTACATGCTAAATTTTTTCACAAGGCAGACTGTAACTATGCAATGTAAATGACAGATTGGTTTATAAATTGTGTGCTATGAATTGTCTATTTGTAAACAATGTAATGAATACGTTTTTAAAAAACAACTCATTCAAGCTTAGTACATAAAATGTCCATGTATGCAGACTTTGTCTCAACACTATATGGCTGACATAATGTCAATGCAATGCAAAACTCAACTCAACTATGTATTCCAGAAGGCATAAAAGTTGCGATAAATGTAATTCTATTTTGAAAGTAACTACAAAGGCACGAACTTATATCCTCAAATAGTTAAATCTGTGTAGGCATACTTGATTAGGTTAAAAATAGAAAATCTACAAAATACAATGTCCAAGTGTTAACCTGAGACCCTCAGGCCCCTTGGATATTGTTGACTTGCAGCTATGAAATTGCAGTAAGGGGAAAAACGTTGGTCACAAAAATATAAGAAAGACAATGAGGAGACTGTGTCATTGGATCTATTCTCGTCACCTGTCAGTTGAAAATTTGTCACGAAATTAAATGAAATGTATAAGAACTCTGAACTAAAACTAAGTCTCACCTGGGTGTGGGCAATGACACGGATGATAGTGCAGTACTTCTTCAGCTTGGCAAAGTCCCGGTCAATTTCCTTCATGCCAGCTTCATCCTGCCATTTCTTGTTGCTCTTGGTGAATGCCTTCTTCTTGGACCGAGACCTATTGAAATCATCCAGTTTATCTCATCATGAACCAAGTCCATGAGCGGAGATGGATAGTTAAATGCTCATCAGTTTTAAACCGAGAGGAGCAGACAGATGTGGAAGGTCCTGGACCCTGTAAAAGTTCTCACAAAAACAGCTGTTCTGCTTGATAACATTCAAAACATTCTAGTAACTACAGAAATCTCAGACCCTGCCTTATTACAGCTTATATTTACAGATTACTTACAGAATGATTTAAGTGATGTGATAGAATGTTACTCAATCTCAATGTCTAACTTGCAAAATATCCCTTAATCCATGCATCCTGTAAATATGAGTAAACCAGCTCGTAACTGAAAACATGAGTGATATTCCTGTAATGACACTTAACCATAGCATTGTACAACTAACCCAATCCCCATTCAGTCAACTAATGTAAATGAAGTACATAGAGCCTATTTTGTCTGAAGCAACTGAAGGGATAATACTTCTTGCAAATTCACTATTATCAACTTTAAAAGATTAGTTACCAGTTCTTGTAGAAGCGACGTCTGCACTCCTCACTAAGATGTTCAGCCCAGATGGTCTTGAGGGTCCTCAGTCCATGGGGTGTTTCAATATATCCTGTAACACCAGCAATGACCATTGGTGGTGCCTCCAGGATGGTGACAGCCTCCACAACTTCCTTCTTGTTGGTTTCTGATGAGAGAAGTAACATGACTCAATCACAGCATGAATCTCAAGTAAATACTCTACCCAATACTTCTTTGTTTACAGGGCAGTCTTCTCACAGTACCACAAATATTGAACACATTCTGAACTCAAAAGGGTAAGAGTTCCTACCATTCCCCCATCCCAAATAATGTTTATGAATTAACATATAGTAAAATTAATTAACAAAACTTAACACAATTACTAGAGAACTCACAAAAATGACAAAAAGTCCAAAATTTAAGTTGGGGGAACGGCAGGAACTCTTTCACTCCAAAGTGAAATAATACTTGTAAGGGAAGTTAACTACCTGTGGAACTGGAATTTGTTTTATCTACATTCTGTATAGACATTTTCTTAGAAATATGTAATTATTAAACAAGTTTGAAGACATTATTTCAATACGACAAGGCTTTCTTTCAGTGGGTTCATGAGCTATAATTCAGAATAAACTTCACATGTTAAAAAATACAACCATATTTTCTTGAATGTTTGGTCAAATTCTAATTTCCTCAATTCCACACCGACCATTTCATTAGCAAGTTAAGATCCATCACATCCCCTAAAACTGTCACTTACATTCTTGATACCTCACTTTAAACACCCAGGAGTAAGTGAGTTTAGTTTTACTCCGCACTCAGCAATATTCCAGCTAAAAGGCGGCGGTCTGTAAATAATCATGTCTGGACCATACAATCCAGTGATCAACAGCATGAACATCGATCTGCATGATTGGGAACGAATGACATGTGTCGACCAAGTTAGCGAGGCTGACCTGATCCCGTTGGTCGCCTCTTACAACAAGCATGGGTTCAATATTCTAACCCGGACCTTCACAGGTCTAAACACTCAAGAATATTTATAACAAGTTCACTGCCTATTTAAAACTGTCCATATCAGAACTTTATTTGCATAAGGCCGTAAAGCTGTAATTTAAATATCAACATCGTGCAGAGTTCAGTCCCTGCAATAAATAGTCGGTGTCGCAGTGGTATGGTGTAATTCTTGTGGTTAATATGTAAAATAAATGGGCATGAAATCGCACGTACTGGAACCTGGTCTGTCGACCTCACGGACAATATGGGTCATGCCAGCCTTATACGTCAAAAACGTTGTCAGGTGAACAGGTTTGCTCTTATCATCTCTTGGGAAGGACTTGACTTTGCCACGTTGTCTTCTACTTCTCTTCTTGGGCAAAAAGCCCTTTGAACCGTGACGTGGTGCCGAGAACTTACGATGCGACTGAAATGTATATTTTCCATGTTAAAATACTTAATCGGACAAAAATATACGCTTCGTGTGTCATTTAAATGTTTACAGTTCGTTTGTTTTCAACATGTAATCAACTATGCTCAATCTATCTGCAGGATGGCACCGATAATGTTCAGAGCTATCCTTCCTGCTTCTTACCATGCTGGCAGGTACAGCGGAAAAGGACAGTCACAAACGAGGTTCTTCCGGTTTACGACTACTGTCGTTTTCGCCTATGCACTCTCAGATCATAAAATAAACATTGATAACAGCAGATAGATAAAGTCCTATGTCACATTTCTATTACCACCCAAACTATTAATAAACAATTTAGCGAGTTCGTTTCGATAAATTTCAGCTTGCCGTAAACTCCAAGGTTTGTCCTTAACCTTCAAATACAGCGAGATATCTTGTAGGAGAGAAGAAAATGTCAGACGACAACGATCCCTCCTTCGCAAAAGTTGCAATGGGTGTATTCAAGATTATTGATGCCCCAGTGACGCTTTTCAGAGGTACATAATTGTTGTTTTAGTAATAGACCTAGCCGGTGAAAATTCCGTATAAAGACCCCCTGTTTTCGCACACATGCGTTCTAAAGAGATCCCTCGCATAGTTTGAAGTCCCAACTTGTTGCCATGGCATGGAAGCGCAGTTTTATAAATGTTTCTGATTGGCTCTAGGTACCAGTTAAGTATGTGCATGATTCTCTGGAAGCGAAATGTGGCGAACGGAATTCCTTTTTTAATAGTATAAATGCTATGGTTAAGTGTCATTACAGGAATATCACTCATGTTTTCAGTTACTAGCTGGTTTAATTATGTTTAAACCTAAAATTGCCTCCATTACACAACATATCCCTCCAATAAGGATGGAATGGGAAGCCCGTATCTTTCGTTTATTGGCGACCTAGCTTCGTGTATTGGCGACTTTATCGCGTGTATTGGCGCCCTACTTTCAAATACTGGCACCCTATTACTGACCAGGGTGCCGTTGTACAAAACAACCTTAGCGCTAAGGCTACCTTAAGTCCATTTTAAGGTATGGGAGTTACGGTCACCTTAGCTCTAAGATCGTTTTGTACAACGGCACCCCGGTCCTCACGCTGAATCCAAACAGTAATACCCCCATTACTGAAATACAGAAACACTTTAGCACCATTACGTTCCACAACGAAGTGTACAGTTTTAGCACTTGAATTGCAGCAGTGTAACAGTGGGGGACACGACGCATGGGCTTTATACATTGTGCCTTTGCAGGGAATCGAACCCGCGCCGCAGTCACTATAACCACTAGGCTGCCTCACTTATTAATTACGTCTATGGGCGGTGAGGTAGCCTAGTGGTTAAAGTGCCTGCAGTGCGGGTTCGATTCCCCAGTCATCACAACCCACTGGCCTGCAGTCAAGTTGTACATACATTGCATACAGGCTGCACTGTAGCCGTCGTCATGTTTTTTTTTAAACAACTATTTTTTAAAAAGATATTAATTTCATTTTTTTTTAAGATTTAAAGTGCTCACCATATTATTCACTCACCTCAATGACATGTACTTTTGGTCAAGTCTATATGGACAACGGCCCATTCAAATAAAAGGCGGTTTCAAGCAATTTTTTTTAGGGGTGTCATCCCCAATTCAAGCAAACCCGACTCCCACAATGCATCCTCCTCCTGTGGTGTGATGACGCTAGCTTGTCTAGCCTTCTACGCATGCCAAAACCAGACTGTGCCAGTGATTACATTTTAGCATCTAAAATGGTTCTTAAACCCCTAAGGGGGGCAGTGGGGTAGCCTAGTGGTTAAAGCGGTGGCTCGTCACGCCGAAGACCCGGGTTCGAATCCCCACATGGGTACAGTGTGTGAAGCCCATTTCTGGTGTCCCCCGACGTGATGTTGCTGGAATATTGCTAAAAGCGGCGTAAAACCAAACTCAGTCAGTCTTAAACCCCTAAAAGCAAAGTAGGTGTTTAGGTTAACATCTCGACCACTTTGGCGCAAGAATCTCTGCATCAAAATAAGAATCTCGTGAACTATGTTGCCCTTGTTGACCTCCCTTTTTGGTTCCTTACCCGTGAAGGTCCGGGTTAGAATATTGGCCTTCAGTAACCCATGCTTATTGTAAGAGGCAACTAACGTGATCGGGTGGCCAGGCTCGCTGACTTGGTTGACATGTCATCGGTTCCCAATTGCGCAGATCGATGCTCATGCTGTTGATAACTTGATTGTCAGGTCCAAACCATTATTTACAGACCGCCGCCATATAGCTGGAATATTGCTGAGTGCGGCGGAAAATTTAACTCACTCACTCCTTTGGTTCCTTAGTGTTTTGAAAAACAGACTCAGCGTCCTATTCAGATCTTTATCAGAAATACTTAATAATCTGCTGCCTAACTGGGATTCAAACCCATCCCTTTCACGTTGCCAGGAATCGAAAACCCGCACTGCCCGCTGCTTTTCTTTTCTGAATTTTATTTTTGCGCGATTTATATTCAGAAACTGAGAGAGGTTTGCCAAAACGTTTGGTAGTTGTTTGTTCACTTTCTTTTTCTATCTGCTGAGAAGCAAGCATCAGTTCATCATCTGCTGAACTATTCATTTGGTCAAATTCCCGTTCTAGGTTTTGCGACTCACGCAGCAATTCTTCATCCGAAGAACTATTCCCAACTGTATCTACATGATTTTTGTCCCCTTTCAGAGTGATATCAAAATTGACACTTGAAATACTTCCATTCAATTGCTTTGGAAAATGTATTAATTTTGAGTGCCAAAGACATCGCATAAAGAACCCCATTCGCCTGACATGATTGAAAACATCTGGTAAAATGGATGCAGTAAAATATTTCGTTTGTTTTGTATCCCTCCAATACGCTGCCACGTGCACAGTAGAGCGTGTTCATAGCGTGTGTATCGTGCATAACGTGCTACCCAGATGTAGGACGCCAATATTAATATTGCTGTGTTCGGGTGCAAGAGTTACGAAACTAGGGCGCCAATATGTATGATTTTAGGTTTAAGCGCAATAAACTCTTCAGACTCGCCAATATTTGCGCGGCTGGATGGGTCCTCGCCTAACGGCCTCGGACTCAGCCAGCCGCTCGAATATTGGCGAGTCTTCAGAGTTTATTCCTTACATAAGCACAGACCATAAAGGTATGTTTTTTTGCTTGACATTAACTCTTTCCATGATATAACATAATAGGTGTTGGGGATACGATGCCAATTTTTATTCACATTGACACATAAAATAACAAACTTTTCATATAAATACATAAAATCCTCCTCTCTTAACACTAGTAAAAATCTATCAGTAAAACAGGTTGCCCAGGGAGGTGGGCGGGTGTCTTTACACGTCGACTGCAGCCGCGAGACTGACTCTTCGTCCCATATGACGACGAGTCGCATGCCATCAGACGCGACGCCACGTGCAAGTAAGCTTAGCGCATGGAGTGCCGTTTTCCCGATACTGGCGGTGAGGCGCCCGTCTGTCCATGACCTGGAGTTAAACTTTAATAATATAAATTATTACCCCTATAATTTGAGTAGTTCAATAGTAAATATCCAACAATCAATGGGGGCCTACCAAGACGTTTACCGTTGTTGAACTAATAATTTTAGTAGCTTTCTACTGATGCTTACCAGATGTTAATTCACTGGCAGCTTGTTTATCGACAAGCAATCTCCTGTTTTCGCTTTAGTGTCAAAAAGCTCAGAATCAAGCTACAAAACAGATAAGATTTTGATCAAATTTGAGAAATATATCAGTTTGAAACAGAGATCACTTTGAAAGAATGGATGCAGGTGTTGATATTAGCTATCAGACCATCACATGGCTTGTTCGAGACTCATTTGATGCCAATAGCAAGCCATTGAGGTGAGCTAAAACATTCAAACCTGATTGCATTTCAACCTCTCATGTCTTTGTGAATCTCCGGAATGGATATGGACTTATTCTTCATACTCTATTAAATTAAACATTTGAATAAAAGAACATGATTAACCATATCAACATATTAGGTACCACATAATAACAATTCGAATATTTGTTTCTATTTTGTGAGCACATGTGTCTTATCCAAGTAAAAACTGTTTAAGCCAGGATACATTATTTGTCATCTGTGTTGTGTATTAATTTTGCAATAATGACTGACTGACTGAGATTGGTTTTTACGCCGCTTTTAGCAATATTCCAGCAACATCACGGCGGGGGACACCAGAAATGGGCTTCACACATTGTGCCCATGTGGGGATTCGAACCCGGGTCTTCGGCATGACGAGCCAACGCTTTAACCACTAGGCTACCCCACGGCCCCTTTGCAATAATGATCATGATGAAGTTAGGTTTGTATACTCAAAACAGAAACAACCCTTAAAACAAGGTCAGATGAATGTTAGTTGAAATATGGACATGCACAGTCATAATGAAAGCAAGCAATATTCTGATTATTATAATTTTTATTGATTAAGCTATCATTTGTTCATTCAGAAGGGGGACAGTGTATTTTTATCTGCACAATATCATGTTGATGGATCGCATCACCCTTTCAAGTACAAAATTAATCAACAGCAAAGATACATGTTAATGTGGCTGCAGATCTTCACTGTATATTCTTTGTTATGATTTCCAGTTTCTCATTTTTTTATTTTGATTTTGCCAAAAAAAGTCAAGATCATAGTAAAAAATATGCAAATCTTGACTCCTCAAAGAAAAAACAATCCTCATTTCAGTACTTTCGAAGTTGGAGAGTTGTTACCCTGTAATAAAGTAGGGCTGCAGGGTTTGACAAACTTGGAACTTACGTGTTCATCTACAGCACTCTTCTTTTCAATTTGGAGTACAGCACTTTGCAGTGACAACATTGGAGTTTATCAATCACAGCATTCAGCAATTTTCCAGCCACATGACAGCAGCCTGTAAATATTCAAGTCTCGACCAGACAACCCAGTGACTGGGGTACTGTTTTCACAATTGGGATACGATGACATGTGGCAATCAAGTCAGCGAGCCGGACTACCTGATCTGTTAGTGGCCCAGATCTTCATGGGTATTGAGGATCAGGATCCAAATGCCCACATATTTGTGTTGCTTGAACTATGTATTTACAAGGATATCTATGACTCAGTGTTGTGGCATTATTGCAGTTGAATTGTCAGCATCCGTGTCAAGCAAATCACCTCTTACCATCAACTATGTTTCTTTCAGAGAAGTTTGTGATTCCCAACCAAGAGAAGAGCACGCACAAATGGTACCACAGACGATTCCGCCGTGTTCCCTCATTTGATGAGTGTGATGTTGATGATCCTATCTGCATGTATGAAGCTGAGGAACAGTATCGCCGAGACAAGTAGGTTAACTCCTTCATCAATATAAAGTACACTTTTAGCATCCAATTACATTCACTGAATGTTGTCTGGTAACTTGAGCCTTACTGAGATGGTAACAATCATGTAGAATTGGTTGAATTGCTTGCTGTTCTATCTCAGCATGCTAAGTCCTTGTCATAGCAAAGCAAAAAAATGAAATGATGGGGTCATATCAAGTACTTAAGGTGCACACCACAGGTACCATACATTGTCCCATAACCTGAAAAGCTGAACAAACTCTTGCAGCCTATGTTTACTGTCAGTGTTGATGTCTCAGCCCTTTTTTCTTTACATTTTTAAAAAATTTGGTTTGAGCTGGTCAGGGCTCCAGATAAGGGTCGTATAAAAAATATGCAAGATACGGTAGGAAATAGTTTAGAAAACGTAGCAGATACGCACCACAGCAATGGTGTACGGTCTTAGAATCATTTACAGACGTATTTATCTGAAAAAGTATTGTTTTATTGTTTATTGACAAAATTATCTGGAGCCCTGCCTGGTGCTCAACATATGTTCTGTATCTAGTGTTTTTTTCATCTTCCACCTTGATCATGTTGATCACCTCCTTGCACTGTAAACACAATTTCCTGAGGAACGACCTGAGTACTGAAGCTCTAACTTGATGTGTTTATTCCCTCACTGACTTGAGTTTGGTCACCCCTGTCCAAGCGATTCCAAATTTCCATATTGCAACAGCAAATAATGTCATCATATTCAGTCATTTTTGTTACAAATTGGTTTGACTTGTGGATTTGTTTGGTTAGTTTTGGAATTTAATAGATATGTAAGTTTTCCTTTTCTGTGCATTATATATTATTTAACCTAGTATAGACCATGCTGCAAATATCTCTCATGTTGCATATTTGTCTCTCTTTAATATTACAATCCTGAGAGAGCTTAACAGGGATCGAAGGCAGGTTTTGTGCCATAAATATCAATTCTGAAAGTGTTTTGTGATTGAGAACTACATATCTGGTGAGTGACAGTGAACTGGCATTCTGTTGTTGATTTTTTTGGACTTAAGAAAGTTAGTTGAAATAACCTTGTTAGTGTAAAATAATGATAAAGAAAGCTATACATAAGCTTGAGCGCTGACAATATACACTGTCCTTGCCTCACTTTATCAGTGACAGTGTCAGGTACTTGGTGAATTTCTTTGAGTGGGATTTTAGAAGTTGGGTCGTGCAATTTTGAACAATGTTTATGGATAACAACTTCTTTTATTCCGTTAGTGTGATGTTTCGATACAGATGCTTGTACCGTTGTCTAGCAGGAATGAATGTATCAAAACGTCGCACTCACAAAATGAAAGAAGTTGTTATCCATAAGGTTTGTTCAGCATGGTGAGTTGTTTGCAGACTTGTTGACAACCAGATACTGAAGATCCTGAGACAGAGGAAGATAGAGTGTTTGGCTTGGGAGGGCCCTGATGCCTCCAGGAAGTGCAAGAAGGTGTCTGAGGACTATGAAACTTCAGCCACCAACTGGTTCATCAAATGTATGTACATGATAAGGCTGTTATGATTCACTCGCTTATTTGATGTATCAAACCATTACCATTCATGAATATACAATATGTTTTTCGTGGTCACCAGAACCAAATATTAACAAATATTTACGCTTTTTTAAAGGGGTCGTGTTTTACTTGAACCCTTATGATCTTTTTAATTGTGAGTTATGCCAGAATGGAATATGTTATGGTTTGCGAAGGCCGCACACAGTACTGTCAACCAAAGCATTGCTATAGTCTGTTTGCAGTGTAAACGTACCAATGAATTTCACTTTTTACAAAAAAGTAAATCAAATAAAGTGAAATTAAGTGTGCGAATTCTCATAATTTTATCTTGCCAATTGAACATTTAAATCTCAGAATTTTGTTCAACTTAGGATAAAAGTTAATTAACAAACGATCATAGCTTCAAATTGCTATTATTGGTTTGTATTACCAGGGGGTATGCACATTAAATGAAACACCGAGAACAAGTAGGGTTGGTCTAAGTTAGCGCTCATCACGTACCGCAGGTGCATTTGTTTCACTGTTCCAACTACTCAGCTTACCCCAATGTAATACAAACCAAAAATAGAGATTTGAATCTATGATTGTTTGTTTAAATTGCCTGAATGCATGACTGAATGAACAAGACAAGTTGCCTCAATGTCTTTGGAGGGTACTCGCTTCCATCTACTTTGCGAACTTTCAACACAAACCTACACAAACAGTAGTTCAGTACATGGTCATTGAACTCTTCCAATTTATGGTTAATGATGCTAAATCTCTGTCCAGGTTTATTTCCTTGTATGATATTTCGGTTTCTGCTCACTCTCCAAGTTTCAAATAAGCTACACGCCCAACATAACGAGCTCTTCGTTTGTTCTGGAAATTTACTTTTGACAAATTTGCTATTTCGTCGTCCATCTTCGGAGTAGTAAATCGTTCCCTTGCTACAGAATTGTTTGACGTGCTTGAAGAAACAATGATATAGTCAGTTGTATCAATTTTATCGAATCTGAAGACACTCATCACTAATATCACTGTAATCTGTCAACTGATTTACCTTTTTCGCAACTGTTCCATTGCATCATAGCTACTACTAACAGCGTATGAAATAAGCCAAAAACCCAGCCAAAGCTTGTAACTTCAAAATGTTACCAGCCCAAAAAGGATTTGACCATTGAGCTTGCAATACGATAGTTCAATGTTCAAACAGTAATTGTCAAGTCTAAATGTAACACTTTATTTGGAAAATAGATTTTAAGATATGTTGAATTTATTCAGATGTATGGAACATGTTATCTAAAGTTTTTACCAGACCATAGGGCTGGCTAGCTGTTTATTTAGACCGTCCATCAGAAATCTGGCCCATCTCGGGCGGTCAAAGGGGCCTTATTTCATACACTGCTACTAATCAGTTCATCGTCACTTGAATTAAATTCATTTTGAGTAGAGACACCGCTTGGGGATGAGGGCATTAGTTTATCCAACTCGGTATCTGACATGACTACACCGGGGCTATGGCAAGAAAACATAGGCACATCATGCTTTGTGTTTTTATGGTTCTCGTTAAGGGCCCAAATTGTTGGTCTGCAAGCCACTGAAGGCGTATATAATATGATATAGTCCGCATGATATGCACAAGCATTTCTTGCTGCTCATTTTTATAGTTCTCATTTAAGGCTCTGTTAAATGTCCTATGAGCCCCCAAATGCCTCTATACATTATACACTTTCAGTTATCATAGGAATCAACAAAATAGTTCCAAACATTTTATTAAATGTATCCATAAATATATGATTCTAATGAAAGATTGATTCTATATTTGTATATGCCATGCTTTAGATAGGTTAAAGCACTCAGACTTTAGTATCTAATGGTTGAAATTGTCAGTTGGAGCATGATGAGTGAAGCCTGCTATGACAATAATTATGCCCATTTTGTCAACTGTCTTCCCTATGTGATTGAAACAAGAGGAAGGTCAGGGGACGATAACTCTGTTCATGAGTTTACTTCTGGTTTGCATCCTGGTTGAACTGTCTGTGGTGTGGATATTAAACCAAAGAAGCAAAGACTAAGTATTTATAAATTTAATATACAGCCATATATGGTCATCAAAATACTTCTAAGAATTAAGTACATACAGTTTGTCACACAAGAGTGTATTGACATGGTAAATATATAGTGTTAGGAAAACTATTGTATTTGGCTAGCTAAATATTCCTAATACTGGATATTTACCATCTCAAAGCACACAAACATATACTTGTTTTTTTTGAAACACCCATTCCCTTCTCTCATGAACAACGCCTACACATGGCAACATGTCCTGGAATATGTGCATTAATGTATATTTAGTTAGAAAGTCAGTGATTAGGTGGTCGGACAGAGACAACGGGTAACACTGTTCCAACTTAAGACTGTTTTATCATACAGTGTCATAACTACGTACAACCCGTGAAATTCCGGGTTAGAATTCATCTTCAGTAACCCATGCTGGTTATAAGAGGCGACTAACAGGATCGGGTGATCAGGCTCGCTGACTTGGTTGAAACATATCCCAATTGCGTTGATTGATGCTCATGCTCTTGATCACTGGATTGTCTGGTCCAGACTCAATTATTTACAGACCGCCACGGCGTAAAACAAATCTCACTCACTCATAACTACATTCAGGCAAAATGATGTTTGTCTTCTTGCCTTTTGTGTCAATCCATCAACCCTGTAGAGCAATATTCCTTTAATACCTGATACTACAGTACATGTTTATCTGCCTGGCCTGCCATAAGGTTGTTCAAATGCACTCAGATGTTCCTCAAAGTGATATCATGAAACAAGGTTACCTTTCAAATACAACTGTTTTAACAGGAACATGATTCCAAGCTGCAGAAACACTGATGAGAGTAGTCAGACTACCTTCCTCAATAAACTGTTTCACATTTGAAGTCTCCATATTTAACAAATTTTAGAAAATTGTAAATACAAGAAATAGCCTTCTTGACCTTTCATATTTGCATTTTTATCCATATATGATGCAACAGATACCTTATTAACGTGATTTTTCTGTTGTCTTCATTCTGTCTAGAATCTAGAGTTGTCGGATAATCGGCACATTTTCGGATGATCTGTATTCTAAATTGTGATTTCCATATATCCCCTACAAACATGACAGATGATATTCATAAGGCCAAGTATGTACTATGAGCATGTACAGCACAATTTTGCTTTAGATGGCAGAACGAAATGTTTTATCCCATCTTCTGGTCCCATCTCCTGGTTTCTGATGGTTGGCATACTGTCTTGTGGCAGCATCAGTTGGCTGTCCTAATTCAGGATGTCTTCACTATCACAAACGTTTGTTTCCAGATGGGGATATTGGTGCCAGCGCAACAGGAATTGATACTTACATGAAACAGAAGCATCGACTGATCTGGGAGAGACGGAAGGCAGAGAGAGAAGAAGCATAATCAAGTGACTAGGGTTTAGACAATATGATAATGGTATTTCTAGATGCTGATCTCTGTCAGTAGTTACTACATCCTCTCTGTCATCAGCAATCATGTCGTATACAGACTTGCTATACCCCAGAATATGAACGTGTTTGGAAGATGAATGGTGTTAGTTGTTTTTCTTATGTACAGATGAAATTTCCTTGAACACAAGTGCTTGAAATTAAACTTTTGAAATGAAACACATTCTGTGTTATGATTAACAGGATAGGTCACCAAGGATCTCAAATTGTCCAAATTCAGGGGCGGATACAGCTTTCCGGGAAAGGGAGGGTGCACAGTTCGGTTTCACCTCTTTTGAGGAGAGTTTCAATGGTCACTTAATAACTTTTCAGGACAAAGGGGGGAAGTTGCACCCCTGCACGTTCACACGCACGCACGCAACGCACGCACACACGCACACACACACACACACACACACACTGGATCCGCCTATGAAATTTAATCTTATCAGCTGAGGTACTATTGCCAACAAGACCTTATCCACAGAATAAAATTTGACAATAAGCTTACTGTGATATCCCTCTATTCAGCAAGTAGTGAATTTATGCTTTGTTTCTGGTTTTTTCTGATGACTGTTTCTGTGGCTATGACAGCATTGCAATTGATAAATACACCCTGTATTTGAATGAAATTAACAGCTTTATATTTTGTATCCTTATCTGCACTCTAAATATCCCGGTTGAAGAATTCACAGATATGAGGTGTAAAACACACACTGGTACTCAAGCATATTTACTACTCTCCAGGTATAGGAGAGGAAGTTAATGAATCTAATGAAATTCTTTGGTGAGTTGACACACACATCCAGCCATTCATCCACCCACAAGTTAGAGTCAATAGCCAGTCAAATTTGTCCAAAGATCGTTATGGCTAACTCTTGGTAATTGTTTTAGGCCAGTTGGAAAAAGTCTGGCTCTACTCAAAACAACTATTGAAGGGTAACCCATGGCAACTCGTGAATGGTGAACTAAAAGCCTCCTATATGAATGTAGAACTTATTCATAAGCAGAGCTCCATTTGTTACAGACCACTTTAATGTGTGTGTTTGTGTGACTCTTAATGTAGACAATATTTGCATTATGGTATTTATTGAAAGAGCAAGTAGACACTGACCCAAGTTTCACGAATTTTAGCATTGTGGTGATAGTCACAAAGTCGTATATACGTCAAAGTGTGATTGGGAGGCTGTTTCAAAGGTGGAGATAAGAGATGAACACTTAAACACTAACAATGTCCTCATTGAATTAGTCACGCCATTAGGAAAAAAACAGACTGCGCCTGGAGTGGACTTAGTAGTGTGGTGATGAATTAGCATAAGGGCAAGGTGAGGAAGTAGGGGAGGTAACCAACGTCCTTTTACAGCAGCGTAGGTAGGTGGGTGAGTGAGTGAAGTTTTAGTCCGCTTTTACAATATTCCAGCAAAATCACGGCGGGGTCGTGGGTATATATATGATGCTAAAACTAGATACGGAACCGTGAAACACCTAATTTACGTATCTCTCGTTTTAAATGATTCGATTTTCGTTGTGTTCATTATCATTTAACCCGTGAAGGTCCGGGTTTGAATATTGGCCTTCAGTAACCCATGCTTGTCGTAAGAGGCGACTAACGGGATCGGGTGGTCAGGCTCGCTGACTTGGTTGACACATGTCATCGGTTCCCAATTGCGCAGATCGATGTTCATGCTGTTGATCACTGGATTGTCTGGTTCAGACTCGATTATTTACAGACCGCTGCCATTTAGCTGGAATGGTGATGAGTGCGGCGCAAAACTCATCTCACACTCATTATTGCCGTCTGATTAGCTGAATTAGCAGGGGCGGATCCAGAGGGTCGACCCAAAAAAATTATCCCTGATGAGCATTTCCCCAACCCCCCCAAATCCTGGATCCGCCCCTGATTAGTCACCTCTTGTTGCATTCATTTCTCAATGGACGTTAGCAAAAAGAATTAGCCTTGCCGACAGGAACGGAATATATTTCACCACTACGTACGATATTTCAGGGAATCATCAAGCGGTAAAACCACGCTTCAAGGCCAAAGGCAGAAAAAATGAAATAGAACACGAGTATGTCAACTCGCACAGGTTTATTTCGTTCACATTTCCACAAATTTCTCGTCTTTATCTTTCATTTAACTAGCATTTTGAACTGTCGTCCTCTTCTAAAAAGCTGGGGCGGTGGGGTATCCCCACCAATTAGTGGTGAAAACATTATTTTCCCTACTGCCTAGCGTTGGCTAAAGCCTAAATAAAGCACGCCGAAGTCCCCTAGGGTCCTCGAATCCCCAAATTATATATATTCATGGGTACAATGTGTGAAGCCCATTTCTGGTGTCCCTCGCCGTGACGTTGCTGGAATATTGCTAAAAGCGGCGTAAAACCAAACTCAGTCAGTCAGTCAGTCTAAAAAGCTAATGTTAGAATGTGGCTGTTTCTGTCTGTCGTCAATATCTGACTACTGACTACTGTAGTTGTGAAACCATACTCACTTGAGTGTGAATGAGGCTGTATGATTTTACTTGGGTCAAAATGATAGACCAGAATTACTATTTGCATCAAGATGTTCGGTTCCAGAACATGTTCAGCTTCTCTTGTGAACAGCTTGCTCATAAGTGTGTCATTTAAGATGGTATGTACTGACCCCCAAAGTGTCGGATTACAATGAATTCTAACACGCTGGTCATCAATATTCTTACTGTGGACCGTTGCCGCTTCGCTTTCCTTTTCATATTTTATACAGTAATGGGACAAGAGCTTAATAAACTCAAACAAAGAACAAAATTGCGACGTTATCGGAACTCGTCCTCTGTGAACGTCATCTTAGGCTGAAACGGAGTCGTGAGTCATTTCCTGGACGTCCAGAACATGGTGGGTCCTTGATGTTGCCAGTCAGTTGGTAACGACTCCGAAATAAATGCATGGTGTTACGATTAACAATAACATGTTGTGCAATTCTGTATTCAAGCATTTCTATCGCTCACAGCCACCCTTTTTCAGCGCTTTCAAGGTTTGGGCGTCAACAAGATGCTTTTCACAGTTAAAATTCTTCATCGACTTATTTTATGATTGAATTGTGAATGCGGGAAGAGTTTCTTACTCATTAGGCGGTGGGGTAGCCTAATGGATAAAGCGTCCGCTCGTCACACTGAAGGCCCGGGCTCGATTCTCCACATGGGTACGATGTGTGAAGCCCATTTCTGGGGTCCCCCGCCGTGATATTGCTGGAATATTGCTAAAAGCGGCATAAAACCTCACTCACTCACTCTACATGTGATAACCGGAAGGCACATGCAGTTACAGGAATATGTGTCATCATGAGTTGCACTCGGCAATATTCCATCTATATGGCGGCTGTAATCATTACAACGCATGTGTGACCATGCATAATTCTTAAAAAGTCAGGGCAAGTTTCTATCGATGTCATTGTTTATTGTGCACTTGCTTTTACGCTAAAACGTTTCATTTTACATTTATAATTTGTTAGTGCGCATATATTGAACGTGAAATACTTAGTTACATTATGTTGAAAACAACACTTTTTTTAATGTGTACACATTTCGTGAAAGTCTCCGCTAACGTTACTAAAAGTATCCTTTTCATGTCTTTCCTATGTCACAGCACTTAATTCATAATTTGTGCATTGTATAAGTTCATGTCCAAGTATAGTACCAAGCTGAGCAAACGTTCCGCTATATACAGGAAGAAGAATGGGGGTTTATCCGTGTTGGATCGGCTCCTTCATGCAGCACAAACAACTTTCCTCATATTCGTTCAATCTCAGTGAGCCTGCGCAAAGTCAGATTTTTATAGCTTGGCCTTATCTGCTCTCTCAATCCGCTCTTGAGCAGTATGGTGTTTTTGAACTCCAGATGGTGTAAATCAAAGGTGACGTCAGTCGTACACAAGTGACAGACCATAAACCAGGACCGCATCAAAGCTTGGATTCGATCGGTGATTCTTTTCACGACTACAATACACACCTGTTGAAAACTTACATTAGCTGTACTTCATAGTATATATCTTAAACATGTTGTTTGTTCATTTTCTTTCTAACCATGGTAATATGTGTATAATCTATTAATGTATTCTGAACTCGGAGTTAGAATCATTACAATGTCAGTCAAACACTTGAAAAATCTCCCTTGCATTCTCTTATTATTTCGTCAGTCTAAGACAACTCCTCTAGGATTTTCGGTGTTGCGTCGGCTCTGACACATCTCTTATGCATGCGTAGAGTCTGTCTTCCCTTCTTGCGGGTACACGTGGCAAGAACAGTATGTCTTCTTCCTTGATCATCGATATACGTGCTGATTCTCGGGATGTCTGCAAAATATTACAAAATATATTATATTTGTACCAATGTATTGTAAAGAAAACGCATACATACATTTAATATTTTTGCTAATTTCCTAAAGGAATCGACTTGAGATCCTGTTTAATATTTTTGAACATTTCCTTTGTTACTCACTATACAATATGGAGCTGAATATTCAGAATGCCGATACTGCCGTATTGTGAATTGTAAACACTATACCTCATTGTTGAGTGTTCTGCTGCGATTCCTCAGCTTGACGGTCGGAGGCACCGCTGTCCAAATATATAGAAAATGAAATCACACTCGTTAATGACTTGACCAGAAAGTCATTACATAAATCATAGAAAGTGCATATGATATTTAAGGCATTGATTACACTAGGCATGAATTAGTGGCATAGAATGAAGATACTCACGATTGCTGTTGTCGTCCCTCACACCAATTCTTGTGCGAAATTCTGTGCCCACCTGTCACAACATAAATGATGATAATAATATGTGTATTTATAATGAATCCCACACATAAAGCATGCTTAAAGCGCTACATGGAGTGAAATAAAAGTAAATATATGCAAAGTTTATGCTATAACGAGGGAAACATATCAGGAATGTTAGTTAAAGGTTGTAATATCTCCCGAAAAGATGGGTTTTCAGTGAACATTTAAATGAGTCAATAGAGGGAGACATTATGTGTTCAGTGCGGAGTTGATTCCACAGCTGTGATGTATTTGTGTCCATACTAATATAGTATGACCAGAAATTATTGAGAATTTTAGGAATATGTTTTATTGGATTTTTAGTATAAACAACCTTGACCAGCTATCAAGTGCTTGGTTTCATTCAACTCCGTTAATCCTTTTTCATTAGTTTGTGAAGAGTTATCCCCCTTTGTTTACTTGCTACCAGACGACATTTTCAATGATCCTCAGTATGGATGATTTAGAGAAGAGGAAGTTGATTTTAGAGTATTATAACAAGGACATCAGATCAGCTAAAGTGATTTCAAGTAGAACAGGCATTCCTTTGTCCACTGTTTATCGTGTTTTGAAAAATATTGCAAATGGATATTGCATTGAGCACCAGGGAAGCGCAGGTAGGCCCAGAAATTTGACTGTCGGTGACAGGAGGCGGCTTGGTATTCTTGTTTCTAAAAACAAACGAAGGAGTTTAGAAAACTAAAGGCTGGATATGATTGTATCAGCGCCCAAAGTACAGTCCGAAATTTAACGTGTGGGGTGGCATATCTGTTTTAGGGGCAACGCCCCTCTGTGTACTTGAAGGGAATATGAACAGTGCGCGGTACACAGATATTCTCGAGGGCCATTTACTTCCATCTGCTCACGTGTTCTATGGAATTCTGTCTAGAACGACCTAAAACATCGTTCAAAGCATTCACAGGCCTGGTTTCGGACCAAGAATATGACATTATTAGATTGGCCAAGCTATATCCCTGACCTAAATCCAATAGAAAATGTTTGGGGACTTATGAAGGAAAGTGTCTATAAGAAAAATCTGATAAATATTGCTGAAATGAAAGAAGAGGTGGTCCGATATTGGGACAGCATGGACCACGACTTTCTAACTTCTTTGATCAGTAGTATGCACCGCCGCATTGAAGCCTGCATTGCTGCCCATGGTGACTTGACAAAATACTAACTGTTCACCTGTCTTTGAAACTGGAGTTATGTTCTGCTATTATTCACATTTAATACGTGAGTAATGAGTGAAAAAATAAAAAAATTACAATCTTTAAATTCTCAGTAATTTCTGGTTGTACTGTATATCGTACGCAAAGTTCCATGCTTTACAAAGAGAACTCTATTCTATGAAGTGGATGTTTTCAATGCCAGGTGGTTGGTTACGTTATCCGGTAGTACTGGCAGTGGTCCAGGGAATGTAGAGTCGCTATACCCGTCACTGTACACGCATTGTTGTACACACATGTCCACGAGTGATCAGCATTGAGGCGGGAAGATTCTTTCAGATACTTACACAACATATATGCATTGTCCGTTGTCAAGGAATGTACTGAAGGCGGTTTAGATATGAATCAAAATACATACCATATCCATGGCCATGTAGGTATTGGCGGCTGGAGATGACATTGATCTCTGGACTGAAATCAAGCGTAAAGCTGATATGAAAAGGCACATGACTAAATGTTTCATAAATAGAAACCGACTTCAATACTACATCTAGATACAATTGGATCCACAGGCACGCGCAACGGTTACCTCACAAACAGGCATTATAAGATATCTATCCTTTATATTAATGTAACTGTAAGAGAAGGAACATCCAAATTGTATAAGTTGTTACAATTGTATACAATCGGGTATGGTGGACATCTATTGTCACAATACCATTAAAGCAATACCTGACTTTACATGGTGTCTATGACATTTCTCAAGAGTGTCAGTTATCAAAATATTTCATACCGCTGTCAGGAGCTTTTGAAGCACTGATATCTTGATAGACCTTCTTCCCCTTCACTTCTGCAACGTCATCATCGAATATTGTTATGGAAATACAATAATGTGTATGTAGCTACATGACGTGCAGGTAAGAGGAGAATAAGATGGACACAATGTTCCACTTAACTATTGTTTCATCGATAAGACTTTCATAGACTGTATATAATAATATGATAACAATTTCTCTCACCCTTTAATAATAATATGACAACCTTTCTCTCACCTTTTAAAAAATAATATGATAACCTTTTACTCACCTTTTAATAATACGATAACTTTTCACTTACTTTTAAATAGTATCAATATGAAAACCTTTCACTCGCCTTTAATAGATATTTATACATTTTGATTGAAGGAAGCAAATATTTTCTTTAATGAGGAGAAAAGTCACATTTCGTTCTTTCCACATTAAATGGTATTACTTCAAGCTTGATATGCGTGCAGTAAGGAAGCAAGTAGATATGACATGCAATACTGACATGAGCGCGTTGACTTTGCAGGCAGCCGCCGGGAATACTAGTACAGAGAGTGCACAAATCGACGAGGAAGTCGTATAGTGTATCCTACGATCAAACAGAATACTTGCCTTTTAAAGTACCACTTTCGTCTTTCATCATGTCACAATAAGCTTCTTTGTCTATAAATGAACACGGATAAAGAATATTCGTTGAAATAAATTTGATTTGATCATACTTATTTCAGAATGTTCCATTATTTTGCCTATCGCTTGTCCCTAAATTCTTCTCAGTTTGAATTTTTACATACACCCGTGAAAGCGCTTCCTGAAAATAATTTAACCACGACAGGGGAATCTTCTTATAAAGTCATTTTGGTCAGGATACGCACAGATGTCACTGTTTACTTGTGGTTCTGACGCTAAAGCACACGCGGGTTGCCCTAGCGACACGCACCTCGCAACTTGTTACAGAAGTCGCTCTATCAGTCCACGCTAAATATGTCATGATTGTCATTTTTGTTCATTAGCAAAGAATTACATTTTCAGCAAACAGCACATGCACTTGTTTCTTTGCAATACACATCGGGCCATCTATAGAGTGAACGGCAGGACTTGTCCCAATAGCCAGATGTAGATCGGATATTTCTGCCTCGCTTTGTCTGAACCCAACATGCTCATTCTCCGAAGGTTAATCTGTTATTCTGTTAGTATTGTTTGAAAGAGATATGGTTGTATTTGTAAGACAGGCCAAGAGTCATGACAGAAAACAAACCCATATGCAGAGGTGAAGAAGGAAATATACTCTCCCAAAAAGTGAACGCATAGGCGAATTTTCCCAGAAATAACATGGTGTGTTAAAACCCACTCAATACGATATCGTTTGCAACTAAATCGCACCATAAGAAAGTTGGATTGTAAGTCATCATAAATACATAAATCAATGAAGCACGTTCAATCACACTGGTGCATAAGTAGGTGTTGTTCTCAGTGCCGACTGTTAAAACAATGTGCCTCAAAGCTGTTCTGCATCTTCTAGACAAGGGCTGATGACGTCTATGGTTCCGAGTTTGTGGGTTCCTGACCCAGTCGTCCTGCAATGCGTGTACCAGTTGCTGTTGGCGCGTCTTCTTCTTTCGTCACGGAGTTTTCTGGTTACGAGTCAAGCCACACGCAAACGATTCCGGGTCATTCTTTTCAAACCGGGTATTCTGCGGGCAACTTCTGTTGCTGGGTCTATCCGTTCCGCAAATGAAGTACCCGACAATAGTGATCCGGGATCTGCCACTTCGGCGCCTGTTTTGTATATCGCATCCTACAGATGCAAATGATGATCAAGATGGCTTCTCAACCTCCTGACGTTCGATGGCAATGTTTCCAGTTACAATGTCGAATCGTGGCCTGATTCTTTTTTATCCCTGGATCACTGGCTGATAAATGCGATGTTGTTTTAATTATTCAGTAATCTGAGATGCAAAGTTTCATTCAACTTTACACAACATGACTTGAAAATGCTTCACAGTTAATGCTTTACATGCTAATGATACGTTCTGATGCGCTAAATCATTTCTTTCCAAAAATATATAAATGGGATTTTCCTGGTAAAAATATCCGTATCATCTATGCGTTTCCCTTGTGGGAGAGTGTGCATCAATAAAACATCTGGGTATCCTTCAGACGCAGTCTAGCACAACATGCATGCAGGTCTGGAGATGGTATGTCCTAAAGTTTCACTCAGTATATACCTTACCCTACAACGGATACTAACTTCATGTACTAACATGTGCTCTCTAAATGTAAACCCCGTTAATGATGTAAACGGGTGATGTAAAACTCAAACGAATCGGCAGCGCAACATACTATTGAGACTCGAAGACGCCCTGAAAAGGAAGTACCGAGTACCCGTGTTAATGTTCTGTTCGGTACCTTTTGGTCAGTTCTCGAATATACAATCACAAGAATGCGTCCACGAGTCACTTCCTCAGTATTTGTAGAGACGTACAATGTTGTATCTGAGTGTAACCTTATCCTGTTGATATACGAGCCGTGTAATGACAATTCCCACGAAAGAGCAAACCGCATAGTTTAGAGATCAGCAATACATGGATCATGGCAAGACATGCGTCTTTAGAGGGGCTGAGGGTGCTGAAGTGTAGCTCCTCACATATTTACCTTGTGCAACTTCTAGCATTTCTCTTTCTGTCTGTGCTATCGATGGTTCCTTGAACAAATTGATTGTTATAATATAACATATATTAGTTGGCTTTAAGAATGACTTCAGAAATTCAACCCCAATTTTAATGTAGTTAAATAACTGCTTCTGGTTAAATAAGGTATTGCATGTATATTTGTTAAAATAAGTCCAAAAACTTAAAGTGGAGCTCCTTTTAAGAAGGAGCTTTTAACTGCTCAGTACTGACACCCACTTTTGACGTATGGCATTTCTTTAAGGGCTGAGAACACCACACTTAGGAGTCCGACATTGTAACACCGCAAACATTTGACTGTGTGTCTTTGAAGTCATTCACCACTAACCTATACCCCTGTTATTTAGATTCATACTCACCGTCACCTTACCTTCAAAGGGACCCGTGATCCGGGTTAGAATTGGTGTTGAACAACATATACTTGTCGTAAAAGGCGACTAACGGGATCGGTGGTCAGGCTCGCTGACTTGGTTGACACATGTCATCGTAATCGATTAGTTGCGTAGATCGATTATTTATAGACCGCCTTCATATGGCTGGATTATTGCTGAGTGCGACAAATATCACATACCTACACCAGACAGATCAGACATTAAATGGTCATTGTTATCATTTCTAATGAATGTTACCCTCAGATTTTCAGAAAGCCGGATGTGTTGAAATTTCAGTGCGATATCTGCTGGTGTGAGACCATCTCTATTTTTGATCTTGCTGGCCAGTTTTCCCACGGGTGTGTCCCGTATGGACGTGCACAACTCCTTCAGTCCAAACCGAGCCGCAACATGCAGTAGCGTTGGTGAATCCTGTTCTCTTTTGCCTATGAAGCAATTCAAAATCACCAACCGGTCAACATCTATTTGTTCTTGAAAAGACATATAAGTTGAACTTAATTAATTCGCAATTGTTGTTTTTCATATTCACTCGTGCCCAAAGCATAATACTTAGCTACAATGTGAGTGAAAGGTACATACGTATATTTCCAGATTTTCTCTTAGGAAAAATATATCAGTTCTGCCCATTTTAAAAGACTTTCGTTGACGTGGCACTGAATTCCAACAGATCTATTTTAAGGTAGTTATTCAAAACCGAAAACGTTTTTCTTTCTGCTCATTTTAGCAGCAATATTTCCAATTGATGAGCACATATGGAATTCAATTTATCACTGGATCAAACAAATGATTCAAACGTCTCTCTGACGTCAATACCTGCCCGTCGAAAATAATTCCCCACATACAATCTAAGTTACCAGTGTCCAGTGAGATATATCAGTATATATCTACGACGTACATTATACCAGTAGAACACATGATATAAATTTACATTGAAAATAATTCGCTTTAAACAATAGTTGAGTACAGCATATTTCTATAGCCAAATTTAAATACAAGAAGAGTTAACGCCATGGCAAATGTTTCGTTGTGATAAAAGATATTCCTTTACCTGGTACTTCATGTTCCTCACAATGTAATGTCGTGAAGCTACTGGCACTGCCGAACATGTGGCACAGAGTTTGGTCAAGGATCCCAATGTTGCAGTTATTGTCCCCCAACACTGACTGACACAACAGATCCAGGGGCCTATTCACTTCATCCAGGAGGTACTGAAACTCGGTCAGCTTAGAGTAGTACACCAACGTTTCCACGCCCGATGGACACCCGTTCACGAACACTTGCACATCCGTCTCGCCCGTGTAAACACCTGCACACACAATCTGGCATACCAGTGTACGACTCATACTAATTGTTGATATCAAGAAAAACTACTTAGTCATCAGACATTCAGAAAATCCACACAACGCTCTCGCTCTCGCAGAATGAAACCTTGAATTCAATCATATCTGTGTGTCTAAACACATGTGTATAATGTTCACCGATAATGTGACGTATGACAAAACCACTTAACGTTATAATGCAGAATTGACACCGATATCTAATCCATATTTAACAAATTACTTCAATATTTTCATTTGATTACGGTCAACGCTCTGAATGACTTTAGAGGAAAGAAGTCTAGAGCTCGACACGAAACGAATGAATGCGTGTCCATACTGCGCACATTTGCTGAAGTCTACACTGATGGTTTCATGATCCCGGACATTTCTTATATCATAATTAGCTAATTTGTCACTTTGTCGCTTTGGAAAACTTTAAAAAATCGTGAAATATCAAATTCAGTGTTTCATTGTGAACAATCTAACTTATAGTTGCATCATCAACAGGTTCACGACGACAAACGCAAATGTTTTGCGGAAAACCTTGTTTGAATATTATGTCCCTGCATGGTGGCCTAATTTGAAGTCGTCGTAATAACACATGACAATCATGATACAGATGGAACGCCAGAGGGGCTTGAGAAAACAAGTGTTTTCCCCGTGTACAAATAGATCAGCAAACGTACAGAGAGTCGGTAATGTATTTTTCAGAAATACGAAACTGCGTCTATACGCATGTATGGTGTATATCATAAAAATGTTTTTGTTTATGTACTACGTTATATTCTAATTGTCACATTACATTACCCATTACTAAACACTCCTAATCTTGAGAGACACATGCCATCCCAATATATTACTTATTATCTTATTACTTACCCATGGGATTGAAATAATATGTGTAAGGGTTGTAGAAAGTTGCAACGATCTTGTCCGACTTGCCCTGCTGTATTTCCACACATCCCCGAGTTTCCCTTGAGAACATCACGTACACCTTATCCACATTCTGATAAAATAAACAATGAAGGTAAGATTTATAGTTTGTACAAATACATCTGCAGAATGATTTATGAGACAACAGGAAAACCTATCACGTTATCAACGTACTAACAGTTGTATGATGCAATTGGAAGAATTATCACGTCACTCAAAGTCAATGTAATTTGATAATGCTCTCATTTTGCTGAAGTTGCACACATAAATTACATACACAAACATGGCGGCTATCAGTACATCTGCTATCGATTTGGAAGATTGCCTCAGCAATTGACCGATGATGTTAAGATGCCCAATATACTTTGAAATGCCCAACATTGATTCAGATGAGGAAAGGCGACAGATGGAGGGTTTACTGGAGCCACAGATCGACCACAACGACGAAGTGGAAAACACCTCTCTCTGGCAACGTTTACGTAGACGTCAATCTTCCTTCAATACCAGCGTCATTCCCTGAACCATCATATACCAATGTCCATCAAACTCTAAAAGAGACGTCCGAATATCTGGTAAAATCCCTATAGTACAAGCGTCTTCGTGATTTAACTATAATAGCTCACATGAGTGTACAGCAAATATTAGCATATAAATAAACATTATTTTCACTCACATTGGTGTACATATGGTCTTTATACATACATCTATAAACATGAGTTTTGTTCATACAGTCATATATGCTGGTTGTTGATACACCTATGTCCATATTTCCTTCTTTACCTTATTCACACACACACACACACACACACACACACACACACACACACGCATGATCTTCATTCATACGTCTATACACACATTCCATCGTCATGACTGAAGGTTTCATTCTTTAAGGAGAGTAATCACCGGATCAGGTTAATGCACAGAAATCAATTCTTGTAAATTTGTCATTATTGCTCTATATAGTGTCATTGTCACTCCACGACCCTTCAAGTAGGAACAAGGAAAATGCATGCATCAGGTGTGTTTAACTTTACTGTCTTACGACGCAGTTCCCTGTTTATTCCAACAAATATCCTGTTGCTATGTTACAAGCATTGTCTATGGACTTGTGGTATAATTTGGTGAATGGATCACGCATCTACAGTAATACATACATGTAGGTGAGAACTCCATCAGACATCGTTTTGTTGGAGTTGGTGTTGGTGCTGATGTTTTTTAACAAAACACTGGTTTTCACAACAAAGTGCATTGACAGAACACAGTTGCTGCGAAAAATACATGTATATTAATTCTGTAAAACAGGCCTAATGCCCAACTTGGAACTTAATAAAGTGAAAATTATCTGAATTAAGTTCTTGGTTCTCATTTATTGCAATTCTTATTACAATTTCTCGCGTTCTTTGGACTTGTGGCAGCGACTGATTATGAGATAAACATTATATATGACGAGGCGGTACGTTTTAGGTTCGAGTCGGCGATGTTGGTATGAAAAAAAGTGTTGGTTTTTTGTTTGTTTGTTTGTTTTTGTTTTTTGTTGTATTTTTGTTTTGGTTTTCTGGGGGAAGGGGGTCGGCAATAAAATTAGAAGGGTCGGTTTGGCTATGAGAAACACGAAAAATAGAAATGTTGCCCTTAATGTCAGCATTATTCCATCCATATGGCGGCAGTCTGTATATAATCCAGTCAGGAGTATCGACCTACAACTGGGAAGCGATGTTATGTAGCAACCCAGACAGCTTGCCTGACCACATTCGCCTCTTACGACAAGCTTGGCCCCATGGGTTCCTGAAGACCAATTCTAATCCGGATATACAGATATGTCAGTACACCGTCACGATTAAACATATAGTAGTGAATTTTTGTGACATTTTGCCTGATATGTCACACAATCGAACAACATACTATTACTTTTGTATTCAGATGCTAGCTTTGTCACAAGTAAAATCTTTATAGATATATTTGTGCATCTTTCTGAACATAACATACACATGTGTTACAGTCTGTGACAAAAAATATCTCATATACTAGCTTGTCAGGTCAGAGCTGGCCACCTTTGGCCCCACAGTCGTTAGTTGAGCCCAACAGTTTTTTTCAGCTGCCTGATCTATCCATCCATCCCTCACCCGTGAAGGTCCGGGTTAGAATATTGATCTTCAGTAACCCATGCTTGTCGTAAGAGGCGACTAACGGGATCGGGTGGTCAGGCTCGCTGACTTGGTTGACACATGTCATCGGTTCCCAGTTGCGCAGATCGATGCTCATGCTATTGATCACTGGATTGTCTGGTCCAGACTCGATTATTTACAGACTGGAATATTGCTGAGTGCGGCGTATGACCCAACTCACACTCACTCCATCCCTCCCTACCGATTTGGACCATCCTTCCAGATCCAGCAACTACATACTGCAACACCGACAGAACAATTTGCATGTGACAGCTAATGGACTCACCCATGTTACAACCGTTGGCATCAGTTTGAAAGTCTTTAGCATGGGAAGCTGGTCATCATTATCCTCCTCGCATAACGTCATGAGCGTCACAAGACATTCACGGAGTGCTTCTTTGCTGTTTCCGACATCCTTGTGAATCCACATTCCCGCGTCGTCACTCAGTCCACGAACAACCTTTTCAGCTTCAGTTACATCCACATAAAAATAGAGGACGGCTGTTCGTTCCGTCGACCTGAGCAAGACATCCTGGAGGAATAGTCCCGAAGAAGTGACTCCAGCCAGGAAGGACGGCGAGACGACCACCACATTCACTCTGCCTTCTATGCAGTTCGTGGAGGCAGTCTGGTTATTGTTAACCTTACTCATGTCAGCGACATCCACAGTTTCAACAGAACACCCAAACCGTGTGTCACCAAACCGTTGTTGTATGAACGCAGCCAGGTCCTTCCCATCATGTGCATAGAATATAACAAAGTCTACTCCTGAAATACAAGACAGGAATGCATTACATCTGCAAAAACAATACATTTGAATTCCTGACTGAGCTATTGACATATCTTGAAAATATACTTGGTCATATCGTGTATTGATCCCAAAAAGGTCTCAAGCTGGTACACTAAACATCGACCACATCCTAACACGCACTGGTTTTTGGTCTGACCTTACGTTCACCTGCAGCCAGTTGTCATTTAGTAACGGTGTTCATGAAGAACGTTTTGTAGGTGCAATTGAAAAGACAACCCACTCTTTAATCGTTTCACGATTAACACGAAAAACAATGTTGAAATGTCGTATTTGTTTCATCAGGGCGTGATTCCCTATATACCCGGACGGACGTAAGAGGTGAGGTGAGGTGAAATTGGGCTTGAGAATATTTCGCTCATATGACGACGTGCATGCGTGTGTATGTGTATGTGCGGCTGCTTGTACTAGCCCAGACTGAAGCTGTTTTTTATAGTGCTAGCCCACTGGGGTACCATGCCGCAGTGAAGCATGAATACCCCACACATTATACTGATTCCGAGCCGGCCAGTCCTTGTTGTACCCATTAATGCCGAGCGCCAGGCAGGGACCAACAAGTACCATATTTTAACGTCTTTTGGTATGACGCGGTCGGGGATCGAACCCGCGACCTTCCGCTCTCCGGGCGGACGCTCTAACCACTACACCACGGAGGCGGTCGACGGACGTAAGATAAGTCCGGATCATCACTTAAGAAACAAGGGCTTTTGGTTCAGCCAATAGCTTGAACATGGGTTGTTTTCAAACTTTGGGAACACCCTCCATGTCTATAGGAGAGTTGCAGTACAAAGTTATGTTTTGATACTATTCATATATCGAGAAATATGAGAAATTGCATCTCTTGAACTCGTCAAACAGTCCCACATCTAATTTGTTAAACCAATAGCTTTACACTCATTTGACAAATTGTTCTCAGATTTGGATACTGGCTTCTTTGTTTACAGGAAATATGCATGCGACGTTTGATACAGATCTTGTATTTTTGTCCAGAATAATTATTATTAATTGTGATGAATTTGGGAGTCTCGCTAGGGAATACAGTCAACTCTCGTTAATCTGACACTTGTGGTTTGCAGATTAACGGATTAACGAGAATGTCGGATTAATGTATTTGTGTGAAATATCAATGTTTACTAAATGTCATGATCGTCATACTGTTGCATGCATATCAGAAATGGTAGATCTAGTTATCTTCATCGTATGTCAAAATATTCACAGCAATGAAAAATAACAACAATACATCCTTGTTATCATTTATAAACATTCATAGATGGCATAACATACATATATAAGCACATAATCAATCAGTTTCATATCTATTTCATAACCACATTGGCACAAAACTCACGTTTGTTTTCACGTTTGTATCAGTGAGCCTTGCTCATACTATTTGACTTGTTTAGACTAAAGTCTTACTCGAACATATACCAAAGTGAATATGCTTTTCAGTCTCGCTACATGTTTCGGTTTTAAAAATCCCAACAACTTTGAATACGTGATTACAACTAAAATCTCCTCAAGAACCAGTGTACGAGAGAGGGTTTTGGCCCATCGTTATATAGGGCAGAGCAGCGTGTTATCATCACTTGCAAACATCCGACAAGAGGGGATGTGACGGAGTTACGGGACTCCGGATATGTTGACAATGATGCCGATACAGCAAACGACTCTACCGTACCGGAGGTTCAATATTCGTCGAAACAATGACTTTGCATGTGTGTTCAACCAGCAAGCATGTCTCCATTGAGGGCAGTTTGAAGGATGTTCCAACAGCATTATCAGTTAATATACTGTTGGTTACCATACCTATCCCTATCAGACAAACTGAGAATTATTAGCCAATGTAATAGAACATATATTGCCTTGAATGGGATACACCATAGCTTGGGTACACACATCATTATTTACCATAGCCTTTCATCTTGTTGGTATAAAGTTATGTGATAACATTTCATATGGGCGTTCTGTCTTTGAGGATATCAATTTGTTGTCTTATTAAGAATGAAGAAAATAGACAGTTACGGTAATATAAATATACATATTTGTGTGTCTATGCCAGTTCAAACTTCGCTTCGATTAAAATGTTGAATTGCAAAATTATCGAACCATATATAGGTTTCTTTGCAGTCGTTAAAGACGGCACAGGCATGCATGAAGACGATGTATGTAGTTATGATGGTATGACCGAGGATATGTAATGACCTACTGGAGGTATTCTAGAGTCCTACCTTTTCCAGCCATTCTAGACGTCTTGTTTACCTTCGAATACATCCTGAATGGTAAAAACTCTCTTGATCACAAATTCATCGATTATTTCCCAAACGTGAGTTAAATAAAATGACCAACAATGTCATCAGGCCCTGTTGCCAGCTGCGTCAGGCTAGCTTCTAGGACAAGGGGCGTAACTGCTGGATGTGTAAATAACATGCAGGAAGAAAAATGTGTCTTTGTTTACTTATAATGCTTCAATATCGTGACAATCGTAGGAACAATTATTAAGCAAGGCAGTTTTCCTTAAATCCTCAAGGAAGCAATGCGTAGAATAGTTCCTGGTTTTAACCTATAACCAATAATGAATCATTTTCAATTAATAATTTTATTATTTATATTAATAATAGTTACGTGTACAAGCATTGCGCTGTACATAGGTACTGTTTATACTATTGAACTAACGACATATTCATATGGATAGGTTGTACGTTAAATTTCGAACCCGGTCTTGCGCAATAACCACGAGCCACGAATGATGTCTACCACACAACTGAAGTGGTTCTCTGGATATATATCAACCCCTGCCAATGCCCTATCCAGTGGTACAAATCCCACATACATAAAGGGCATTACTGTATGTATGTATGTATGTATGTATGTATGTATGTATGTATGTATGTATGTATGTGCGTGTGTATGTGTATGTATGTATGTATGTATGTATGTATGTATGTATGTATGTGTGTGTGTGTGTGTATGTGTATATATGTATGTATGTATGTATGTATGTATGTATGTATGTATGTATGTATGTATGTATGTATGTATGATACAGCACGATGTAAGTGTGATTATTAGCAAGATGTAAGTTCTTTAATATGTTATGATGCGACGTTTCGGTAGAGATTCTTACCGAAATCTTACCGTTCGTACCTTTCTTATTATTCGTCAACTTCTAAAATGCCATCAAACAGATCATGTAAGTGGGCAGTCCACATAGCCACTCTTTAAGATTGTCTAGGACGTTCAATACATTAAACAACGACACATTATCCCTCTTCGTCACGCAAGGAAAACGAGGAACTAAACAGTGACTGAACATACTAATTGGACACTATAAAACATGTTACTTAAATGGAATGTCATCCGACTGTGGGAGATGTTACAGGCAGAGCAAGACATGCGTACATTTGGTGTCAGTGATTTATTCATAAAATTTACATCCAAATTTTGCCTTTTGACTCTCAACTGAATCTGTTTCGGGAGATATAAATGAGACTAATTTTTCTACGACGTTGACATTTTGTTTTTTGAGCAACCGTTGTGCAAAACCAGGAAACGTTAAGCGTGCACGTTCAAACATAAGATCGTTATAATATTGTGAACGGTTAGGATTTATACCTGCAAACTGATTGTTGTTCTCATCCTGACATCTGATGACATATCTGAGGTTGGTCCATGTATCTATTTCTGACCGTTATCTCAAGAGACCACTGGTACAGCCTTGACACCGTGTCATCATGTTGATAACACATCTTGTGGGTGTTGATACATCTAGTATAATCCTTATGAGTTTCAATACAAACATGAGAGTTTTGTCAGTTTTTCTGCTGTGGTTAATGGTATATGTGCGAGGCGGACATGCAGGGACCACGTGTGGTTTTAAGGTAACTATAAGAAGTTGGCTATAGCGAATGTCAGATTAGTTGCAAAGCTATCTTAAATGGGATTTGAACTTTCTGGACGTATGATTTTTCTCGATAAAGAATATTCATTTAGTGTCTATTTTTCAAAAACCGCGTGTAGTACAACATAGAGTTTATTTCACATCAAACAGAAAGACGTCGACTGCATTCAATTTGAGTTTTCTCTCCATTCAACAAAGCCGTGGCCATGGCAACATAAATAATATCCTAGCATTCCAATTACATCATACTTTTCGCACAGCTGTCTGCAAACATGTGTTTGATGTGTCGATAACACCATGGATTCAAAACGGAAGTCGACTTCTCAAAAACACCCTTTGATGGGACTGATCGTGTCACGTCGTGATGTAGTGAAATACTGTGATTCTGCAACTTTCTTATAGCATTTAACGTTCTTCCAGAGCTGTAACAATGTGGAAGATGGCATGCTGAATGTTCATCTGGTTCCTCATACACACGATGATGTCGGGTGGCTGAAAACAGTGGATGAATACTACTATGGCGGTGAGAGTTTCCACATAATATTAGACGTTGTTACATGAGCAGCCATAATAATGGAACAATGTTCGAAGATTGTTTAGGCGTGCCATTGTATGTGTGTTGACACAGGTACCCCCGATGGGACAGGGTACGCTCTTCTTTCTCAAGAACTACCTGTTATCAACATGTGACAGTTATTCAAAAACACATGCAATATAAGAATTGTAACAATGACTGTTGATATATCATTAGCTGTTATCTGCATATGAAAATTCACTTGGTTTCAGTACTTAAGATATCTGTCTAGCTTTGTAACTGGAATAGTCCTTTTGCGACTATGCATCAAGATGATATATACCCTATAAATCCTTCAAGAAATGGTTTAACTTCTGTAATACCTCTGAATGCCTCTCAAGAATGTCGTGTGAATGTGGTTATACTGACAATAAGAAGTGATTGTGCGATTTCATATTTTAGTAAAAACTCAGACAGAATGGAAACTGCAGTGACATGGATCGATTCTTGGGTCCTTTGCTTGGGTCATCTCTAGAAACGATAGTCCAGATGTATTGTATGTCTTCTGTCCCTAGATCAAATCAAAAAGTAATCTGATATTGTCGTTTGTGCTCTTCCCGGTGTAAAGTGCTATGCTAAACAATGATAGTACCCATAATCGGGCTAGTAATACACAGTCATACATAATAGTGTGTATAAGCTATGGATATAATAGGTCGCCACTATTTCTCTCCTCAAGTACTCCCGAGGCTTCAATCTTTCGTCTCGTCTTTGGGTTAATTATTCGCTTGTAAATGTCAACTTCACCGTTCAGAACTAAATTCCAATTTCCACGGAGATTCGCTCGCGAAATCATCAAAAGTATTTCATTTCCTACTATTAGAGTACTCGCTGTCAGGTCCGTAAATACTGACTGATGCCATCTCTGTTCCTTTACCGACAGGACGACACTGATAGAGTTTTCTTCCATGAATTATATAGAGAGAAGTATGGCCATTTTATAAATGGGGCAATCAAAGCGCTAAGCATTACCTTTACCTCCGCAGACTTGCTATTTAAACCGTTGTTTGGTCTTCCAAATAGTCATAATATCTTAAAGAATATTATGTTTCCTACACTTCACAGAAGCAATGTTAACGTTGATAACGGTAATGTTTTATCAAATAAGTACATGTATTTACCTATTGCTAGATAGAGTTTGGGTATTGTGTATTAAGTTCTCAGTGATATCAACAACAAAAATGACAATGTTTAAATATAGAACAAAACAGCAGACAAAACGAAAACACAGTTAGACTTCTACATTCCTGTTACCTGTCTAATCCATCAGCTCGACTGGACATACAAAGAGCAGCTGTCGTCTACATACTCGATTCTGTGATACCCCAGTTGTTGCAAAACCCGTCGAGAAGGTTCATCTATGTTGAGATCGCCTTCTTCTGGAGGTGGTGGGAGGAACAGACAGAGGAGATGCAGACCACAGTGAAGCAGCTTGTTAATGAAGGTAGAGGTGTAGCTGGTTGAAGCCGATGGCGGGTATGCTTCCAACTGAAATGAATGACATTGCCTAAACAGAACTAGCCTCAGTAGCTCTGTATTATTCACCTTGTAAATTATCTAACTACAAGAGAAACATTAAGAATATTCGCTCTTTCACTGCTTTAGTTCCGTCGTTTACAACAGCATAACCTGTGACTATGTAGATTTCTCACCACTGGAGCAGGTGACAAACATAACGTTAAGGTATTATACATTACACAGAAAGCGAAGTGACACTTGGGTTTTGATATTTTGTAGGGTAAGAAAAGTTAAGGGTAAGATTGTGCCATACAGTGGGTGAGTGGCGATACCTTTCTGATATATTATTTAGTTATTTAGTTAGAAAATCATACGATTAATTTGAAAAACGTCATTTTCATCTTGAGGCTCCAACTCCAGTGAGAATAGTCTCACTGTCATGGTCAAGTTGTTTATATGGTTTGAACTGCTACATAGTTGAATGGAACAGTTTGTTCAAACATAAAATTTGTAAACATTACAGACAATACTTTTGTTTCTTTTGTGTATCACCACTTCTCACAAAGGTTGACTTTCATACCTGAAAGTGTGTTGTCTCAAAGACACTAATTGTCTTCTTGCTGTTTCCTGTTAGGAAGGCTAGAGTTCACTCTTGGTGGATGGTCTATGAACGACGAAGGGGCCACTCACTACAATGCGATTATAGACCAGCATACTCTAGGACTCAGGTTCCTCAACTCAACCTTTGGACAATGTGCCCATCCGCGGGTTGCGTGGCAGATAGACCCATTTGGACACTCGCGCCAACAAGCATCGCTCTTTGCTCAGGTTCATATTGCTTTCAAGAATACTACCGTAACTGGTATAATTATCTGGGGTCTGTAATACTCTTTGACGGGGTGTGGATAGGTGAAATACATTGTAATCATTCTCACTGTGACTGACTACGCTGGTGGAGTGGGTTGGTTGGAGCTAATTATTGCAACATATAATCCCCTCCGCGGTCCACATACCCCTCCCAACCATGATAGATGTGGTGTAAAGGGTTTACTCCTGCCAGTATAAAAAGGTCTTTAGAGCAAAATTTATATCATCGTCATTTGCATAATCCTTGCCACACCAGTCTTTCTTAAAGTTTGGAAAGAGGTGGAATTCTGATGTGCCAAATCTGGTACGCGGATTGTTCAATGACTTCAAACTCGCAAGCAATCACTGCAGCAATGGCGACAACAGACTTTTGCACGGATGCCTTGTTACGGGAGACAACTCGCATATTTTTGCGAGTTCTCCTCAAACATTAGTTTCGATATTCACAGTTTAGCTTAGCAGATTAACAGAATATCGGCCATGAATTGTCTGACCTTACCGTCCTTAGTCCACCATTAGCCGGTGCCTGCGACTGCTTTTGAGTTTCGAGCTCATGGTGGTGAACCACGAGTAAATAGTTATAAATCGCGCAACAAAAACCTCTTGGACTAATTCTAAACGAAGTAGATTATTACGAGAGGTGACAAACAAGCCAGAAACCATTTGTCCTGTCCAGTTCATTCCTTAGAATGTGGAAGATTCCAACTGAAGTGGCTATATGATGTGTAGCTAGTGTCGTCTTTCATCCATATTCCATAAGTTGATACCATGTCTGCATGGATGCCTGTCGGAGTTATCTCAACCGGGGTCACAAGATAACAGCGCTGTTGCCAACTTGTCTATTTTCGTCAACTGAGGATACCTAGTCGTTCTGGCGCCTGCAAACCGAAATTGCGGATTTCTCGTGCATTTGATTTAGATGAAACCTGAAAGCATTTACAGCATTGAACTCAATAAATGAAGCGTGCACCATAAATCCTTCATAGAACTGTTCAGCAACCACTCCCCTTGTGGTTTTCCTCAGATATTTTGCACCATTTGTCAGCATTCTTTAGACTTGTCTAGAGCATCATGACTTTATACCAACACACAGAAATTGAACATGGTGGCATTCATTGTTCACGACATCCAACCGTTTACTGACAGGGAAACCAACGTGTTCCAATTTTTCTCAGAATATGAACTGTAGGTATTAAAGAAACTAATCTTTTGGCAACTCGAAATTAACGTTGCATTTTCTCATGATTCCTCGTGGTTCAAAGTTTATTCTCCAAATGAACTTGTCTTGTCCGTCACACAGGCAGATACATGTCAAAGTTTATACAGTAACTCCAAATGAACTTGTGAATCACACAGGCAGATACATGCATTACTGTGGCATCTGGCGACGATTTATTTCAGATATCTAAATGTATCCCCACCAACAGTATTGAACTCTTAACCAGTCGTTTATCGGTATTGGTAGTTGAGCCTAATGCATGCTTTTGTTGGCGCGCGAAATGACTGGTCACCCTGATCTGTTTCTTGTAGATGGGATACGATGCCTTGTACTTTGGGAGAATTGACTATCAGGACAAAACAACGAGGCTGAATGAGAAAACAATGGAAATGATATGGAAGGGAAGCCCCGAAAATATTGGTGAGTCCGGGGGAACATGAATGAGTGCAGTATGGTGTTAAATGCCTCTGACAGCAAAATTGTATTAATATCACGATGGATTGTATATCGTCAAGTCTGGTCCAGGTAGGAAAACACTCATGTCAGGCAACCAGGCAGTTGACAGCATACTCGGTGAGCACATGGGTACGACAGACAGGCCAACGTGAAGGTTCTAATAAGTACAATGGTTGAAAAGTCGTCTGAGACCGGTTGCCTCTATTTGTATGTCAGAAACCTATGATCATGGGTGCGGATGCATGACTACAATGTTCCAGACCGGGTTGCTGCGTTCATAGCTGCAGCCAAGGAACAAGTCGGTAGTATACAAAAGGGGGCCACTCACCTCCCTGAAATATTGCATTATTATATCATCATATGGTTGTTCGTATTCTAGGGGTAACATCCGACCTGTTCTCTGGAACCCTGTTCAATGGTTACGGTCCTCCCTCTGGATTCTGTTACGATATCGCATGCCAAGACCCGCCAATCATGGTAAGTTAGCTTCCAACACATGTCATATCTAGAACGGATGTTCCACTGACGCGGTCAGTATGCAATACCCATGTGAGAGTTACTCCTGTCTTATTCCTATTGTTATCAGGATGATGTGCGGATGCATGACTACAATGTTCCAGACCGGGTTGCTGCGTTCATAGCTGCAGCCAAGGAACAAGTAGGTAGACAACACTCTGCTCCATGTAACGGATCATTTGCTGTAGTTTGTAATACCCTCGTTTCCTTGGCTAAAGAGTAATTCTGAATATATGTAACATATAATATTATGCGCTCATCACCTATTTTTGTAGGCAAAACACTACACAACAAACCACATCATGATGACCATGGGATCTGATTTTCTTTATTCCAACGCGCACACATGGTACAAGAATCTTGACAAGCTCATCAAATATGTAAACCAGCAGGTAATCAATAATTTATCCTCATTGAATGCCTTCTTCATATCGGATTTAACAGACATACAATACAAATGTAAAATCCACTAAGTCCATTAAATGTGATTCCACTTCCCTCTCCCAAAGTGTAACACCAGGTAAAACCTGGGCGGTTCTGACTGCAACCTGTCGGGAAAAAGAAAGTAAACAGTTTAAAACTTCATTTGACCAGAGGACTCCAGAGGACCTTTTTAAATGTTTATTCATTAAATAATGCCTGATTTTGATGACTTTGCAATCCCTACATGATGGTGTTCATAACGAAGTAACAGAATGCATTAAGTTTCCTAATGTGCGGACAGTACTCTTACAACCTGTAACGTTTATGAAAAGTGTGTTTACGAAGAACATTACCTGTTATGTAATATATTTTGTAATCATTCATTTGTTTTACTAGACATACATCTATTGTTTCCCCACTTCTATCAATTTGTTTCCCCACTTCCAGCAGATGAACGGTAGCAGCGTTAACGTCCTCTACTCCACGCCGTCATGTTACACATACCATGTGAACAGAGCTAACCAGTCATACAATACAAAGGAAGACGACTTTTTCCCTTACGCTATCAAACCTCACGGATTCCTGACAGGTTTTTACACCAGTCGACCTACCCTTAAAGGTTTCATCAGAGACGCCAACAACAGGCTACAGGTACGTTGATGTATCCCACTAAGTGAACAATCTCTAATAACTATATGTTCATAGTATAGATCCGAATTGATAAACATAAGTAATGACTTCGATGTATAATCAGAACCGATTACTCTCTATGTTATTTGATGTTGTACTGATTGCACAGCTGTGATACAAGACTTGTATGGTAGTATGGTATACAGACCTCGTGGCCCAGCTGAATGATTCTTCTTCCCTACTCGTACACCAGATCGTGAGACAACTTCATGTCCTTGCAAACCTGCAAGACTCCAACGACAGTTTCAGTAAGATTTTCCAGTTAGGTAAGATGAAATTTACTTCACGTTATAGCCTGAAAACCATTTACTATTCAATCTACAACTTGCTATCGTAACTGAATGAAACTATGGCATATTTAGGTTCATACATGTAAATCAAGATATGTAGGCGACACGCATTATAACATAGTTTATGTTGTTTCCATTGCAATTTTCAGCTCTTTTTCTGTCTCGTGTACTTAAGATATGCCACCCGATGTATGTTTCTTTTTAGAATTGAAATGCAATACTAACTATAACAGAAAGTATATAATGACTAAATTAGATATACGCTTACATGAAACTCAAATTCATCATTGATAGCAATTACCCATAGTTCGTTGTGATGAGGGTATGAACGTTTTGCTTTACAGAGGAGGCTATGGGGATAGCACAACACCATGACGCCATAAGGTGAGCACAACTCTACACATATATACATGTACATCAAGAAGACATTGGTGAGAGTTCATTGTGCAACTGTACAAAATCTAAATGTTCACCATACGTTTTAGTATAGGGTGTAGGTAAATGCCTTTCTCAACTTGAAGTTCGGATGATATAAGGTTTTCCATCTGATGAGCACTGATATTTGTGAACGTTTTTTTGTGAACGGCATATTTGGATGTTTATACTGCAGATTGTATTTTTAAAATTACCAAAGCCCCACTGGACTACGACCATATTGAATTGTATACATTGATAAAGACTTCAGTCTATGGGGATATACACTGAATGTTCTGTACGACAAAATGAAATGTACGGTGTTATCAGAGATCATGACAACAGCAAAACATACATAACAAAACATTCGAAAGGCATTTTGAGATCGTGTGCTGAAAAAAGTTAAATTGAGGGCGAACTGTAACTTGCTTTTGATCTCGTTCATTACTGCTTTGAAAATTAGATTATTACATCCTATTTCATAATTAACACAGCTGATGATTGGTTCTCATTCTTAGAATACACAGCTCATATAAACCTATTCGGAACATAAAAATCATATCATCTACTATTTTGAGTATGTATTCCCACGAGACAGCTGAAGGTTATAATATGGCTATCAGCGTACACACGATCAAGAGGGAACTACAAGAACCGAATGAAAGGTTGTAAAGGTCGCGAGATTCGATTCGACAGACTTGTTCAATGTATGAATGAACAATGGGAAGACGACTGGTGGTCACAACAAAGACTGATGTTAACGCTCTCACTCAGTATATACAGTGTGAAGTATGAGATTTTTATCTTAGGCACAATACATGTGTTACAATCTCTCCATGTGACAAATGGTGTTCATTCATGGCGGATATAATTTTGAATAAAAGCAGTCTAAACGAACTCTTTCCGTAAAGGCGTTATATAATTAGAACGTTCATACTTTAAGTGACTTCAAAGTAGAATCTAATGGTTGATTTAACCTTCAATTTTCTATAACCCATAGCTGCCGAGTATCTGCGTTATTAATTATTTTTAATAGGGCTCGACAGTGTTCGTACATATAAGTATATTATACTACACTGATAACTCATTACGTGAGTGCAGTGAGTATTGAAATGTCTGATGTTCTTTCAGACAGTTGTGTTAAACGTTTATTGACATGTAGATTACAAATATAACAGTTATTACTGGGTTGTCCCCATTACCACAGTATCAACGTTTATTCTTCTCAACAAACTAGAGTATTCCAAAGTAAATGTTCCAACAATGTCTGTAGCTGTCTGACACCAACGGCCATATTTGTACTACTCCCATCACACAGCCCAAAATGTGTTATATTGTATGATAAGTGTATGATAATTTTGTATGATAAGTGTATGATAAACGCATTTTTCGCTTCTTAGTGGGACGGAGAAGCAAGCAGTTGCACGTGACTATGCTGACCGACTTGGCAGAGCGTTGATAACAGTCGAGGTAATATCTGAAGTGTTTACATGCTACACAGAGTTGTATCCCTTTAACTATTATCAGTGTGTTGGACGGACCCTCGCCGATTTGAAATTAAGCTGATTGGCGTCACACATATCTCAATAGCTGTTACTATCATTGTTAACTGTCACAGTGACAGATTCATTGCTAAAACGTGTCTGAAGAATGAACATATCATTACAAAGCTACTTACCACCATTGGGAGATATATCGGAGTCAATCAATGTTGATATGATAATAGTGAATGTTTTGAGAGTGCATCACCACTTGCACTTCCTTATGACCATAGTTGTTTGTACAGTAATCGCTCTTGAAAGATGGTTGGTGTATGACGTGAAATTTGCATGTGTACGATTTTCAAACAAATATAAACGGCTAGAAACAAACACAACTGTGTGATGCGTGATGATTGTAAAACTTAATGGTATACAGTGATTTATGTACCTTCTTGAAAACCGTCAAAAATCTCTTGAAAAAAGTCAAAAAATCAAGAATGACACCCCATGTACGTGTATGGGGCTACCGAGCACGTGAATCCTATGCGTTGTGTTTAGGTGTGGTGATAAAGAGATATGGTGGTGCGTTCATAACATGTCTGTAAAAGGTTTGTTAACGCTTATACTTCCTGTCCTAATTGAAAGTTTGGGTTCCCCTGTTTTTAAGAGTATATGGGACTGTATTTAGAGCAATACCCGTATGTAACCCTATATGCCGACTCGGTGTTGTCACTTCCCACTGAGAACCTTACCTGACTATGCTTATCTACCAGAACATGGAGCCATCTCGGTGTCCATACGAATGTCCTCATCAAACACACGCAACCATAATGTAAGGCATGGTAATATGTCATATGTCTAACTGATGTCAAACTAATTATTACAAGTATTATGTTTGAAAGGATGTTGTGTTAGAGGGGCTTGCTCGACTTCTACCAAACGGTAGTGTAACATTTCCACGCTCGACCTCCTGCGGTGGCCTTCTCCCTAATGTATGCAAAGTACCACCTACAACAACAAAGGTAACGAAGCAAGCAACATGTACCGCAACATTGTTTTAATGTTATCATCAATGGCAAGAAAAGTATAAATGAAATAATACATAATTATTCATTTAAAATAAACGATATACTCGTTGCCTTAATATTATGATAATATAATATTACTTCTTCGATGGGCATTTTAGAAGTTGAGGTGATGAAGAATGATGATAATTTTATGGATATACAGCTTCTTTATTCTGTGAAAGGCGGCGGAGATTCTAGTGTCGTTGTCGTCGTGATCACTTGCTTGACAATGACATTAGAATATATGTCGAAACGTCGCCTTTTACACAATAAAGAAGTTGTATATCCATAAAATCATCATCGTTCTTTATAATCTTTAAGCAATTAGCCAACAAAGATTATGTCTCACGTGCATTTGTACACCGGAAGGTCTGTCAACAAGGACAACATTCATGATATCTGTTTTCCAGCTACAACTGATAGTATGGAACCCACTCACCCGCCCCACTACAAATTATATAAGGGTAATAGTATTCACATCTGGTTGGACCGTAGTAGGACCGAGTGGCGAGCAACTGCAGTACGATGTAAGTATACGAGCTTCACGTAATAAATACAAGATATGAATTCAACATTTTAAGGATAACGAATTCTTTTTATTCTTTGTACGGCGTTTCAGAGCTAATTCATGCCCCTTCGTCAGCATTCACCTGAAACGTCGGACAAAGAATGAAAAGAAGTTGCTATCCATAACAACGTGTCATGTATTCATGTTCATCCAATTTCTAAATGTCTTTCAAGAACTTTAAATACACACAGATGAGATATGTTAGATTTACAGTGATTACTTTGCAACTTATTCCTATATAGTTTCGTTCATAGAAGATTTGCGCCTTACTTCGACGTTTCGCATGGCGAGTTCGTACTAAACATGTATATTTTTATCTTAAATATTTATCGATCCTGAAAAGAACTCGATAAATTAAACCTTCCCACCAGGTACAGATACTCTTTGATCGTATCATTGTGCACTAGTTTCTACTCTTCAAGGCCACATGCTACAACATATATTTTCAATGAATGGTCGTATGTCTTACATGTAAAGAATATTTAAGGTGAACAAAAGCTTCAATCAAATTCATGATAGATTAAATATAATAACTTTGAAGCAATAGGTAAACACATTTTCAGGTTTTTGACGTGTCTGGAGGTGGCAAGGAAATCATCATTCCTGCCTCGCTACCATCTCTAGGATTCAGCGTTTTCTTCCTCAACACACAACAAGGTGAATGCCATTTATTGTCATACAAATATGTACACTTTTAGTTCAAATGGTCAGGATCATAATACATAGTTTCCAGAGCGATTTCAACCTGTGAAGCTTTGATACCTATTCGCAGGATCTCCGAACAGCGGTCCTCACGTGCCGGTCAGACAAACATCCGTAGCAGATAAAGTGGTTGGAAATAAGGTAACCATAGAAATAGGAATTAGTAAATTATTGAAAAAAATATTGTAGATTACCTGTATGACGAGTTGTTCTGTCAGTACATATTACATATTACTGTACATATTACGATATTATGGATGCTGGTGTTTATTTATTAGTAATGTTTCAACTCGGGATGTCTGTGTTGTGTTTTTGGGTGTTCATGTGTGTGTGTGTGTGTGTGTGTGTGTGTGTGTGTGTGTGTGTGTGTGTGTGTGTGTGTGTGTGTGTGTGTGTGTGTGTGTGTGTGTGTGTGTGTGTTGTGTTGTGTTGTGTTGTGTTGTGTTGTGTTGTGTATGCAGGATGCTGTTTGGTATTTGGTGTGTGTGTGCGTGCGCGCGTGTGTGTGTGTTGTGTGTGCAGGAGGGTGTTGGGTGTGCAGCTGTAGTGACTAATTATTAAATAGACTCAGATAAAAGTAGCAGTACCCTCTATTACATCTGGTCACCATCCGTTCCTCACTCTATTTGTTCGAACCAGATAGTGTCGCTAGTGTTTGATGGCACGACCGGTAGGCTGAAGCAGATGAATAATCTACAGAAGAATATTAGCATGTACCTGGAGCAGGAGCTTCAGTATTACCTGTCTTATAACGGGGACTGTCATGATGATGAACACCAAGCATCGGGAGCCTACATCTTCAGACCGAACCACACCACAACGGAGACGTTTCCTCGACAGTTGTTCAATACGACGTACATTCAGGTACTGGAACAGCAATAGCTTCTACATGAGAATAGTCCAGTGTTATAAAAGCACACGACATAAAGACGGTTCCTTGTAATATCATTGATCTTGTTTACTTAGCTCGTACTGATGCGGAGAGTTAAGCATCATAGTATTCCTTGTTGGTAATACCGGACCTGTTGGTTGTTGTTTTCTCAGATTCTTCTTGGGCGGTGGGATAACCGAGTGGTTAAATCGTTCGCTCGTCACGACGAAGACCCGGGTTCGATTGCCCACATGGGTACAATATTTGAGGCCCATGTCTGGTGTACCCCGCAGTGATATTGCTGGGATATTGCTAAAAGCGGCGTAAAACTAAACTCACTCACTCAGATACTTCACCACTATCAACATGGGATTGTCAGCACCTACCCCATGCTTGTAGCAGGGTCTCACCTAAATGAGACAGCTGTATCTCTTCCGGGTCATCTCACCAGTTACACTTATAGGTTGTGTTCCCGCTACATCTAAGTCGCTGTTCAAGGCGTCTTTCAAATACATTCACCCAGCAATGCTCCTTTGACACTGACTTCTTATTTCTTGAGAGTAGTCTCCCTTCTCTTGTATTCAGGGCAAGGTGGTACAGGAGATACGCCAGGTATTTAGTCCTTGGGCTTCACAAACTATCCGCATCTTTGAGGACAAGTCCTACGTCGAGGTTTCGTGGGCAGTTGGACCGATACCCATTGAGTATGTCGCCTGATATCTCCAGAATACTTTAACATATAAACACTCTCTCCATCCAAGTTGCGGGACACGAGTATGAACACAGAAAAAGGAACTAATTGTAAACAGGGATTCACGTTTGGTATGACATCATATCAACATTAAAGATTCGTATTGTAATCGTTGAAGAAATGCTTAACATATACTTCATAACTGGTCATAATTGTGTAAGAGTCATGCGTGTATGAGTATACAACTATATTATTGCCTTTATTTACTTAATTGTGATGTTTACTGATCTTTATGCCAGGGACAAACAAGGGAAAGAGGTCATAAGTTTGTACAAAACTGATCTCAGGACACATGGGCTGTTCAACACAGATGCCAATGGTCGTGAAATGATGGTCAGAAGGTAATTGTCACTCTCGATGAAACCTAACTTTGTATTTGAGTCAACTACAGTTTGAAAGGGTGTAATGATTGAGTGACATTTTGCTTAATTGTTTCTGTTTGGTTATGCTATATTGCCACTTTAGAGCCAAATGGAGAGAGGGGAGGCCCATGAATATGTTCCACTCAGTTTGCCCATTTAGGGAACTGAATCCGATCGAGAACACGTTTTAACGACTAAGTCACCTTCTGTCCCTACAATGAGAGTGAGTGAGTGAGTTAATATTTAACGTCAAATCGGCAATATTTCAGCCATATCGTGACGAGAACATTTTACATTGTAATGGAATATGTATATATCATAAAACCCTACAATGAGATCAGATAGCACATTGTTCCTAATAATAGTTTCATTTATCATGCACAATGCATGCTCGAAGCTCCCAAACAATCTGATGATTATTACCCCGGATAACCCAAGCTGACTGTTAGGCGCTTGAGGGTTATATTCACGTGACTTTATCCCACCGGGTACCCAGTTTCTGTTGAGTGAACAGAATCACATGTGCTTCGTTGTGGGTCAGGGATGAAGTCCTAGAAACTCTCAGGAGTTAAGCTGCCAAACACGGTCACCCATCCAAGGACTCTCCGCGCCCAAAGTTGCTTAACGTCACCTGATTTGTGACCTGAGCTCTATGCACAGATCAACGGGTAAATGCATGACAGTATACTCTTCTTACAAATCCGAGATGAATATTAATGGGTAATATGACTGTTTCAGACTAAATCACCGCGATACTTGGCATCTGAATCAGACGGAGCCAGTGGCAGGAAACTACTACCCTGTCAACTCTAGAATTTACATCCAGGTTATTTCATCAACACGGTGTAGTCCACTCTATATATGACACTGGAGGTGGAGGCAGAATGTATCAATCTTCGCCTTGTATTATCATACAGTTTTAATCCATACGTTGCCCCGTTACAACGTTAAACGTTGTTTTACTATTAAGGGCCCAATTACTCTTACTTTCCATTACAAGTTGGAGACGTGTAGTTTAATATTCAGAAGGAATACATCTGGATAGTTTACCACAACCAAACAGCATGTGTGATCTTAGTGTTTGGCAAACAATTACCTTCAGGTTCTGTACCTGGAAGAATAACAAGAAGCAGCTTTCATGTAAAGATTTCCTAGCTTCACCACACAGATAGGCAGTCAAACGCAGGTGTTAATGCAACGCATCATGTCGATATATACACACTGGATCTTCTTACACCTTGACTTGCTTAGAGACATGATCACGTGACATTACAGCAATTTAGATGATGAGATGCGTCGATCATCACGTGATCTGTACACCATTGCTGCCCTGATGAGTGTTTACATTGTAATCAGTATTATGTTTACATTGGGCTGGAGTAGAATGTCTTCTGCCATCCCAAGAGGCAGACAATATGTGTTTCCTGAAGAGTTTAGCTGGTCAGTTTGACGTGTACATTTTGTGTAACGTTTTACGATGTATTTTTCGCTATGTCCGTTCGATAAATAGAGTATCAGACGATCACAATGCCCTTGCATCGTCTGTAGGACACGACAAGAAACATACAGTTCACTGTGCTGACCGATCGATCTGAAGGGGGAAGCAGCTTACGTGGTGGAGAAATTGAATTGATGGTAAACAACACTAATTACCTGACACAAAGCATTGAGTAGCATTGACGAACACTCTAGAAGCCAACACGTGCGTACATCGTGGCGAGGGCGGTGGGGTAGCCTAGTGGTTAATGCGTTCGCTCGTCACGCCGAAGACCAGGGTTCGATTCCCAACATGGTTACCATGTGTGAAGCCCATTTCTGGTGTCCCCCGCCGTGATATTGCTGGAATATTGCTAAAAGCGGCGTAAAACTAAGCTCACTCACTCACATCGTGGCGATATTTATCCCCAGCATCTACTATTCTCAATGTGGCATAAATACTTCCTTGTTCAAGTATATTGAATGGGTGTTGGACTTGTTTAATGATCAGTCGATCTGCACATGCATAACAGCTTGTGGTTTCAATAATAGGCTGTTCACGCGATAACGCTGTATAATTATCGATAATGAAGACAGCTAATCATGTTGATGCCCTTAATTTGAAATTACACGAAGATTAGTTTTGACAAATGATGCAAATGATTCGAACAAAACATTCAGACTTGACATGTTTACACATGTTTTTACGTTTGTCTGACAGGTACATCGACGCTTATTGATGGATGATCACTTGGGAGTAGGCGAACCATTGAATGAGACGGGCGATGACGGCAAAGGGCTCGTGGCTTTTGGTAAAACCAGTCTTTACAATCAATTACGTTTTCACTGTTCGTTCGATTTGACGTTAGTGAATCTCATAATGATTCCCAAACAATCATTACACACTTTATGTTTTCACAAATATATTACTTAAGCAATAAACCTTATGAAAGCAAGATTAAGATTTATTTATCCCTGTGAAGGTGAAGAACATGCTGTGTATCCGATGTTTGTATGTATTGGTATCAGTCTAGAATCAGATGTGATATTGTTGCAGGATCACACTACTTGCTTCTCGACACGATACCTGCATCTGCAGCAAGACACCGACTCCTCGCTGAAGACATCTTCATGAAACCAATGGTGTCTGTCTCAGAGGCAGATCACACCTTCCAGTCATGGAGCGATCTTTATGTCACAAATGTAGGTATACCCTCTGTAACAATCATATGCTGTAATCTGGATTCTCATAGGCCGAATGTAGCGTTGTTTATCGCGTGAACACAAATATATAACTGCCAAGAGGAGTCAGTCCTCTATCAACTAAAATGTCCTGAACAGGACAGTTCCAACACACGATCACATTCATACAGAACATTCTAAAACTATCATTTTACGAGCAATGGCGTCTCTGTCACTGCCATAAGCGTTAGCTCCGTCGCTCAGTATTATCATGCATTCAGACATGTATATACTTATTGTTGTTGCAGCGATCGTTTATCCAGAAAAGCCTCCCGGAAATGTTCACCTCCTGACCCTCGCGCAGATCCCACACGATTACAGCGAGGCAACTTCATTCCTTATCTTCAGACTCGAGCACCAATTTGAGAGAACGGAGGACCCCGAACTATCTCAACCAGTAAAGGTGTATGTGAAAGTAAGGACGTGATAAGTCAGCATTGGCATTTTTAGTAACTGAATTACAGTCATAGTGTATGATTCATTGCCGGATCTGTGGGAATTACGAGAACATGGTATGATTTACCTAAATAAAAATGGCATATATTTAACAGGTTCAACTAGTTTCAAAGAAACAAACCTGCTTTCTACGTAGACTACTTCACAACAAGTATGATGTGTACAGTTTCATGGAGTTCCTTACTCGTCGTTTCTTCTTTCAGGAACTGTTTACTCCATTTGACATAATCAACATAGAGGAACTGACTCTTGCTGCAAACATGCCACTGAAAGATTTGGATCGCCTTGCTTGGCGTTCAGCACCAGCACAAGCAGGTTTTCCAGGAAGATTGGTTCCAAAGGATCATCCAACAAATGACGATCCTTTTGACATTGTTCTCAATCCAATGGATATCAGGACATTTAAGATCGAAATTTCCTATAAGGCATTGCTTCGAAACACGTAAGTGTACATACATCTAGTTAAAAGTCGCGGGATGCACATATTGTACATGTACTTTGACGATCATAAATCGAAATTTTTCTGCATATTGATTGAACTGCTGTACTAAAATATAAGTGTTTAAGCGCGGCAAAACTCTTGCCATCATACAATTCCTACGACCATGTGCTATACTAGGTGAGCGTATCACGCTGTATCAGTGGAACCCATTGCAAACACGTGCAAAATACATGCTACTTCAAACTATCCAGTAATAAAGAACCGTTTTTGAGAAAAGTATCCAGCCGTTTTCAATTGTTTGTACAGATAACGGTCAGTCGTTTGCAGGTCCATGTACAAACATAGTCCAACACACTGGGGAGCTGTCACTTCCAGCCGCACATATGTTACACAACCCTGGTGACTGAAGACTTCTGTATAAACGTTGTATATTTTTTTGAAAAGATAACTGAGTTCTCAAAAGTATTTGTTAGACCATGTCTTGCATTAAACGAAGTGACTAACTTTACCTTTTCTGAAGCTAATACAGTTCGGCGCCCATTCATTCAGCTGAACAGATCTGTGGTCGCATTCGGTATTCGTCATCATGTTAAAAAGATAATTATTGAAAAACATCACCAACATTAATTACTGGATGGATGGATATTTTAAAAGAAAATATCGTACACAAATTCGTCCAGGGGAACTTGCAGAAAGATCACCAAGTACATGTCACTAAATCCGTCTATAACGTCTATATGTCGCTAGAGTAAATATTCATTACGTTCATACAATACAGACCTTTCAGTCCAATAATTCTAATTCTGTTTGAAGTGTACTCGGAGAAACATGATGGAGTTGGTTTGTCACTCCGTAAACACTGACATGACAATACTGCTGGCTTCAGTTTCAAAAGCATTAGTAGTTAATATTGATAGCCAGTAATAGTTATTGTTGGTTCTGTATTTGTTAATTAATGGTTGCTATAGATGTTACAACCTGTTCAGATTTGACTGGTTGTAAATGTCCGTTATGTAAATATCACAGATAATAATGAATCCAATTCTTCCAATGCTACTGAGATCTAAATTGTCGTTCCCACGCACTACTGTAATCAAGTACCGTGTCGGTTGCCATGGCAATAATAACGATCACTTGATACTGTGATTGACTTAGTATATTTATTCATGGGTGTTCTTTCTTGTATTTAAAAAAAATCTTGACGGATTTAACCTTGTAGTGTGACTAAAGAGAAAAAAAGTCACAAACTGTTACTGTTTTATGTCTAAAACTTAATTCCTAAAGTCGCTTACAATAGTCTTTTATTGTAGACTTATGATGAAGCAACATCATAACACTGACGTCATCTTCACAAATTTAATATATACATTTCAAAACTTAATGTGTTTATTTGAAGACATATTGGTTAACTATCGGCATCTATGTCTATTTTAAATAATCGTACCTAATCTTCGATAAGCGTTTGTGCATGAGAAACGGGGCCCACGTTAGAACAGAACAGCATCCTGACTTCATTGTTTGTGGATCGTCGTAGCCCGACTTCGAGGGACGTTGTTAACGATGTCAATCACCTGTTTATCTGGCTCAGTCTCCTTTATGCACAGACTCACGTTACAAAGCTGAGACGCTGCTGAATGTGGACACACGCTGTCATAACGCCAGTAAATTCAACAATAGCGGTATTAAACCAGTGAGCGGCAATTACCTGTAGATATATGAAAGGCACGTCTTCTTTCAATTCTGTCCACAAAAAATACCACAGTGCGTACATCCAACGTACATTGCATTCTGTACACTCTACTTCCTGAATTAGATCAGCAATTCAAATGCATTTACATACAAAAACAAAAATGCAAATTGATTATGAACCCTAGTAGGACCTAAAATCTTTCCATGGTCTACGGGCACCATCAACACTTCAAGGGCAACGTTCACCGTACTTTTGGACACCAGTCTCTATGATGAGACACATAACCGATAAGCCCAAACCAGCCACACAGGCGATAAACGCTGACGACAAGTCCGACACTGTAATAGGCTCGGTCTTGGAGTCAATCTCTGGTATACAGGTCTTCTTCTTTGGTGCCCATTTCTTATTCCATAGTGATATAAGACCTGCATCTACCAGTGCCTGGATTCTGAAAGAGAGACACCATCTGTATTAGAAATTCACAACACTGTCTTGACATACATGACCATACCGAAAAGGACAAGCCATTATCAGACTCAAACAATGGCTTACATATGTCTTTGCTTAATTATTTTGTATTTTGTATTACTTTTCTATTTCTTTTCCTCATGTTTTATTTCTTCATTTTATTTTTTCTTTTGGTTTCTGTTGTTTTTTCTTTGTTCTTTTTTGTTTTTTGTTTTACATATAATAGGACAAAATAATCTATTTTTCATATTGCACATAAAAAATGTAGAGCTCTACCAATACAATGTGTACACATAAGATGCAACAAAAAAAGGGGAAAAATGCTTCACAGGACGCGCAAGGTCAGGTCTTCACGCAAAGGGGCATCGTATCCGAAAGAATAGAAAATAAGATTAGACTTTCTTAAAGTAATATTTTCTGAAATAATACATGTTCTGAAATAACCTTCATAAATTCATGAAATATATTAGCGATCATGTTCTTCGTCCAGTTCATTGAAAGCTGTATAATGTTGTGATATATAAGCAATACATTTTGTAATGAGTTCAATATTATACAAGCATATACCTGTGTGACATCATTAGTGCTAATGGAGAATGACGAGGGAAAACAAAGCTTGAGAACAACGGCAAGATCTCCTCATCCATGACGTGGAGCCCACAGTGCTCACTCATGAAGACATCAACGTTAGCTCTTGACGATATCAGAGCAAAGCCACCATCGTAAAGCTTGTTCCGTTGGCGGGTCCACTTTTGGTGTGAAGATTCATTCGTACTAGCTGCTTGTGACAGTGATATCTTCTTCCATATCGCTTGAAAATCTGGATTTGTAGATGTCTAGAAACAATGATAATACCATTTTTGGTATGGCTCAGTCCCTTTGCGTGATGCAGCAGATCACACAGTTCACTAATTTTATATAAATACTTATCAACGATATATCATCACCCATTTATTTAATTGCTGGAGTTCGACAAATGTGTATTATGTCACCCGTACTGTGTACAATGCACACATATGAACGTCCATGGCGTCATTTCCACTTTATATCAAGTAGAGCTTTTATTGATGAAGCAGTAAATGCGTTGTCCGCGCCTTTCCCTGCAGACAATGCCTTAATATATGTAAATAGTGTTAGTAAAAGATTGGTATTTTAGAAAACAAAATACATGTAATGGTTAGAAAGCTGACGATCTATGAACACGCTACGACAAAAGAAACAGTTTGCAAAATGGTGGTTCGATACTGAAAAACAAGAATTAGTTTCTTGGAAAATAAGAAGAACATGGGCGTTTTATTTTCATTTCGAGACATTTACAAGAGCATGTCTGTATGTAGACAGATCGGGAAAGGTATATCCTATAAAGACACTTATTTGTCTCTATAAAACAATACCTATGGGGGCTTTATTTAAAATTGTATATGGCAACATTTACACGATATTGCTTTCAGGCGCAGAAATCGTTGGTACCATACATTGCTATGACCAAGAAGAAAAGGTGGGTTACTGTTTACCTTACAAGGCCATTGTAGGTGCATGTGGAAGTCATTGTATGTCCTTTACAAATCCAATAGTTATTGTAAGTTTTATCTGGTTACTCTGACAACTAGTGTGCACTTTTTTTATAACGTCCATATACGTTAAACATGTAACATATATATCCTTTACATTTACCATATGTCAAAGAATAAGTCCCATATACCACATGATTTATGTACAATATTTTTTCTCAAAACCCCGAATTTCTTTCTTTTATAAGCAAGAATTGGTACAATCTCTTCATCACAAACATAAAATGCACATTGCTAACACTTGCACGAAAATGAAGTCGTGCTAATGAAGTTATTGCTAAAGTGTTAAATACTGAAGAAATAATAACTTTCCCGAATTCTATCTATATACTCCAAATAAAGAATCTTACGCCAGCTATTTTAGGTAATAAAAAATCAATCTCAGTGAACCTGAATATGCCATAATGGTATATAACACGCATAACGGCACGTGTAAATTTTGTGCACCTTCATAATGTGCTTGAGAACACTGCCATCCTCAATGTCAACTTCAAATTCTTCATTTGTTGCCAGTTCTTTAAGTGTTTTGAATGGGACTTCGTCATTATTGGTTGATAGTATGGCGACAAGACTGCCTATGTAGACGTACGTCATTATCATAGTGTACATGCACCAGAAGGCCAGTAACAGTCTGCCTGACGTCGATCTCGGTAAGTGGGGTATACCTGAAACACGGCATCGAATAATGCATTGAAATCTTCGTACAGGGAAAAGTGCAGTGTGCATGGTTGTATAAAACAACTACATATTAAGCGTTTTTGTTTAACGTGTCACAACTTTGTTATATTAAACCCCTCAAAACGGAGTTGGGGCGGTGGGGTAGCCAAGCGGTCAAAGCGTTCGCTCGTCACGCCGAAGATCCGGGTTCGATTCCCCACATGGATACAACGTTTGAAGTTCAATTCTGGTATCCCTGCCGTGATATTGCTGGAATATTGCTAAAAGCTGCGTAAAACCAAAATCTCTCACTCAAGCACTCACTCAAAGCGAAGTAATGTACCCCTTCTGCAGTATAGATTTCTCATCTATGTAGTTCTATATTCTCGCTATAAAATATACCAGTGCTTAAAATATTAATGTGACATATCTCACAAAAACCATATTTTCTGTACATGTTTTATCTGTTAGGGATCGCTATAGTTCTGGCATGCAGGCTCAGGGATAATCACACGACCAACGGTGTTTGCCAGCTTACATAATAGGATATCATATTTTGCACAACCTTTATGTTGGTATGTCAAGTGTGGAAACCGTTTAGGTTTCAGTTTAAGCAAATGACCATGTAAATGAGAGTTCGCCTTTACGAGGATGCTTAATGTGATAATACCCCCCAATGCAGTTATATAATCTATAGATATATCATGGTGACATTCTTTGTGTTTTTAGCATTGTGTCTGCGTCTTATTCACAAGAATGTTCCATACCTTGACGGAGTGGGACAGCAACACAATCCAGCAGCATCAGATTCAATGTAGCCCATATTGTCGGTTTGATTGTATTCTCCACAGAAAAGATACGAGCCGATTCAGAAACAACAAATATCAGATACA